ACTTCAGCCCACACCAGCACTTCGCCTTCTGAAGTCCTGGAAACTGCAGGGATGTTCCTTCCCAGGTCCTTTGCATATGCTTTTCCTGTGGCTGGTTGCTCCAGTTCTTAAGCATCTGATGATTCCTTACCATCAGACGGAATGACAATTCCCATCTCTACGAAGAAGTCTTCCCTGACCATTCTATTAAAAATTTTAATGTCTCACACTGCCTCTTTATTCCTTCCTTGTAATATTTCCTATGGTATTCATCACCATCTGATAGAATATATAATTGATAATTATTTAATCACTCTTTGAGAAGAGTTCTTGATGTAATTTGTTTAATGATTTACCTTGGTTTCTAAGACAGTGTCTTAAACATATGATATGCTTCTTGACCATCTGTTGAATGAATTATGGAGTGTATATCAATAGGGAATTTCGCAGCTCTGTCCGTGGAAAATCTCCTGCGCAGGAAGGGATGGCTGCAGCATACTGAGAACATGCAAGTGTAGAAAGTCACTTATCCACACCACCCTCCATGTGTTATGGTTGTTTTCAATGTCTAAAAATTGCTGGCCGGGTATGGTGGCTCACGCCTGTAATCCCAGCACTTTGGAAGGCGGCTGAGAGGTGGATCTTGAGGTCAGGAGTTGGAGACCAGCCTGGTCAATGGTGAAATCCCCATCTCTGCAAAAATGCAAAAATTAGTCAGGTGTGGTGGCGCGTGCCTATACTTCTAGCCTTCAGGAGGCTGAGGTATGAGAATTGCTGGAACCCGGAGGCAGAGGTTGCAGTGAGCCAAGGTGTGCCACTGCACACTCGCCTGTGTGACAGAGAAGACTGGTCTTAAAAAAAAGTTGCCCTTGCCACAGTGTGAGGACCTTATCGGAAATACAACAGCAACAACAACAACAACAAACCAAGGTTCACCTCAGGAGAAGAGCTCCTACTCCACAGAGTTTTGGGACTCTTTGAATCTCCTTTTGAAAACAGAGGCCTCAGCTCCAGCTGCAGACTGTAGTCCTCAGGGCCAGGGCCATTCCACCCACACTGCCCCCATCCCGCTCTGGGCTCCATCTGTGTGCTGAGGATCCCCATGCACCGGCGAGTCTCAGAGGGCAGAGAACTAACCTGGAATAAAAATGACACTTTCTTTCTTCTGGTCGAGCAGAGTGTCATTGATAGAGCAGGACATGTTCCTCATCGACTTATCTCTGATGATCACAGCTGTGGTGACCATGAAGAGGCCGTCTGTCAGGAGTAGCTGACCTCCTTCCCAGGGCAAGCACAACCCTACCGTAAAGGAGTCCTCCCACTGAGGGCTTTGGGTACCACCCTCTAGATATGCACTCCAGCCGGATGCCTCCGTCCTCGTGGCCCCTCATTTCAATGAGGGCTTGAAGCCAGTCCTGTGGAGAATGCAGAGTTCAGACAAAAGTCAGTGCCTTTTGTATCTCTTCTGTGCCTATTACATCTCTTCTGTAAACTAGAAAGTAAAGGTGAAAAAGAGGAGGTAGAGAGCAAGAAATAGGAAGGAGGAAAAAAAGGAGGAGGAGTAAGGAAGAAGAACGTTGATGTTAGAGAACACCAGGAGACCAATGGGGCCACATAAACTAAGAGCAAAGCGATCCCATTGTACCCTTTTCTTTGTAGTCCACGTACAGACCCCATCCGGCACAAACATCTATCTGTCTGCTATAAATGCTTATTCAATTTTATCCTGCCAGACTAATTTCTCACTTCAAGATGGGTGTGTAAATGCTTCAAACAAGCAGGTTTGGATTTCACTTTCTGCTTCTGGGACGACTTCTCAGTAGACCTTAGCTTCAAGCTCTAGAATAATAATGAGAAGATAAAAAGTCTGCCAGGCGAATAAAATCTAAGAAACCTTTTGATCCAAAGACACTGATCCTTCTGTCTAGTTCAGAACTACCTCCTGCTCTCTACCACCCATAGGAGGTGATGGTTTTAGGAGACTTGACAGATCTAGCCCGCAGCTTCCAACTCTAATCCTAATTCCCACACTGTTTACCTCCCAGAGAGCTCATCCATTAGGCAGTATTGCTTTTCTTTTGAGACAGGAGTTTGAGCTCTGTTGTCCAGGTTGGAGCACAGTGGCAAAATCATAGCTCGCTGTGCCTTCTGGGCTCAGAAGATCCTCCCCTTCAGTCTCCCAGCTAGCTGGGATTACAGAGCATATTTCCTGACACAGAATGACATTGTTTTTTGGGTGATTGTGGTGGCAGACATCGGCTTGTTAGAAGATCTGGGATGATCCGGGGACTACAGATAGCCATACTGTCTTTTCAATATCAGAGATCATCACCAAAAATTCTAAGAAATGAGCTCACCTAACTGCAATCAAATCTTTCATTGGATCTTCCATGAGGTAGACACTTTGGGTACATGAAGGCTGCCAAAGGGAGTGTGGTCATAGGAACCTTTCAGCCGTAATAGGACCATCTAAACTTCTTCTGAGTAATTCCTTTGTAAAAGTCTCCCAAGGAATTTTGCAAAGACAGAAATAAACCGATAACTTGAGTCTGGTGTATTTGGCTCAATTTAATAATAATAAAATTTTTTTTGACACGGTCTGACTCTGTCACACCTCGGCTGCAGTGCAGAGGCATGATCTCATCACTGCATCCTGGACTACAGGCTCAGGTGATCCTCCCACCTCAGCCTCCCAAGTGGCTGAGACTACAGGCATGTGTCACTATGCCAGCTATTTTCTAGTATCTTTTTGTAGAGACTGGATTTTTGCCATATTTTTTGAGCTTACTTTAGTTTTTTTTTTTAGACAGCGTCTTGCTCTGGCGGGCTACAGTGAAATGTGGGATCTTGGCTCACTGTAACACAGGCCACCCAGAGTTCAAGTGATTCTCTGGCCTCAGCCTCCCAAGTAGCTGGACTACAGGCACGTGCCAGCATGGCTGGATCATTTTGTAGTTTTAGTAGAAGGGGTTTCACCATGTTGGCCAGGCTGGTCTCGGGCTCCTGACCTCAGGTGGCCCACCCGCCTTGGCCTCCCAAGTGCTGGGGTTCAGGCATGATCGCGCACCAGGCCCAGGATCACTTTAATTTTATCAAGGAAAAACTACTTGTACATTTAAAGGCTCAGTAAAATAAGAATTAAAATAACTCAGCAAATTGGAAAACAAAGTTCTTCAAAACATTCCACTTGAGGTCAATACCAGGCAAGCATGATAAAACAGGTTAAGGGGCAAATCAGCACCAACAAACCTAACAAAGAGAATACAGTAAACAAACCAACAAAAAAGTCTCGCAACCCAATTCCAGAGTGGGGAAGGCCAGGCCAGTGTCAGTTTACGGAGCAAAGAATGGCAGATTCCTGCCGCACAGAAACCATAACTGGTCAACCCTGGAGTGCTGTTATGAACACAGTGAGGATGCAGTGTCAAGAAACCTTCCCTGCATGATATTCTGTTTTAATCAGATGCAAGGTTGCCTTTGTGTGTAGCAAAGATGGGGTCTCCTACCTGTTACGATTTGAGGCCCCAGGAAGGACCCAATTCCTTAGTCCTCACATCCTCTGGTCTGATGGAGTGAAATGCCACCACAGATTCCTGCACCGAAAGGCTTTCAGTCCTCAAATATATCTGTTTGTTGTTGTTGTTTAATTTTTGATACAGTCTTGCTCTGTCGCCCAGGCTGGAGTGATGTGGTAAGATCTTGTCTCCCTGCAACCTCTGCCTCCTGGGTTCAAGCAATTCTCATGCCTCAGGCTCCCAAGAAGTTGAGATTACAGGCACACTCCACAAAGCCTGGCTAATGTCTTTGTATTTTAGCTTTAGACATGGGGTTGCACCATGTTGGCCAGGCTGGTCTCGAAATCCTGGCCTCAAGAAATCCACCTGCCTCTGCCTCCCAAAGTGCTCTTATTACAGGTGTGAGCTACTGCGCCCAGCCCAAATATACATTTTTAAGAAGCTTTGACACTAACCCCAAACTGAATTAATCACTTAATGTCATTTTAACAAACTCCTAGAAATCTCAGTAAATGCATTTTTATGTTGAAGGCTTCCCTATTACCTCCCAGTAGACTTTGTACTCTTTCTCTATGGAGTTAGCAGGAACTATACATAATTTTGCTTCTGTGTTCATCTTGCTTTAATGAAACCATCTATTTACAATAAGTCAATCTCTCTGCAATCAGCATTTTGGGAAAGAAGTCAAGGTTAATATTTATCAAGAAATAAGATTTGATATGTTGCAGTTCTCTGGGTAATCGTTGTTTATTCCAGTTGTCTTGGAACAATTATTGACAGTGTCTCCTCTCACTCTCAGAAGTGCAACCTGGGAGGCAGAGGTTGCAGTGAGATGAGATCATGCCAGCAAAGGAGTGCAATAGAGAGCAAGACTCTGTTTCAAAAAAAAGAAAAAAAAAAAAAAAAAACAAAAGTGCACAGCTCAATGGTAACACAGGCCTCGGAGCTTCTCTTCCAGACCATTTCCCCTGCACTCATAACCTCAGCTGAATTCTGCGTGTGCTTCTCAAGAAGTGAAGCCATTGCCTTGGCAGAGACAGAGCCACTCTCATGCGGCCCTTGTGCAGGAAGGATTTTCCCTGGAATTCTGTTTCCACAGGAAGAGTGTCCTGTGGTATCTCCTGTGGAAGGGGATTCAGACAAAGATTGCTGGTCTGCAATGGGCCTGAGGTTAGGAGACATACTTTCCCCAGAGTCACACTGTGCCAAAGCAACAAAGCAAAATGAAGCAAGCGCACCTGCCCTGCGAGTGAAGGATGGCCTCATCGTAGGACCTGCCTTCTTGGAAGTAACAGCCGGTAGGTGCCGTTCTCTTCAGGCTGTGACGTTGTATGACCAGGGCCACGCTGCCCCTGCTGATGTCTTTGCTCACAAGGTGGTTCTTCCCTCGGTACTCCTCATCTGCTCCTCTGTTCTCTCTCTCACCCTTATACACAAACACTGCGAGGGGGAAAGAACTGGGGCAGACCACCACGCACCTCCATCCTCAGCATTTTTCTCGGGTGACAGATGGCAGGCGTAACGTAGTGTTTTCTCCGACCGTAGCCCAGGATGGGATCAGTTGGCCCTACCACAATAAACTGGGCTGTTCAACAAAGGGGTAGAGTCAGACAAAGACACCAGCCATCACATCTCTAAGGCAAGAAAGGAAGCAGATATTCCAGGGACAAACATATTTTTTCCATGGCCACAGGGTCTCTTTGGGCTGAGAAATCTGGGGACCAGTAGCTGTGGGTAGTCAACAGCACCCCTGGGAGCAGTAACTATAAAATGTGCTTCTGCTTCATGAAGAGAGCCACCAAGAACCCGCCTGAGCACCCTCTGTCCACCCCTGTGCCCTTGAGAGTTTTCCTCCATTCCCCAACCTAGCGCTGTACCTCAGTGTAGTGTAAACTTGAGCAGTGCAATAGACACCTACCCACTGGCTAGTTCCAGCTGAAATGAGCTCTAAGTATAAACTATACACAGGATTAGAAGATTTAAAATTTCAAAATATTGACTATCTTATTGGTAATATGGTGTATTAACTAAGTATTTAAATATTCATATTTGATTATTTGGGGCGAAACACAACATAGTATACAGATTTATTTCATGTTTCTTTTTACTTTTTAAAATAAAAAGTAAAATTTAATTCTTTTTTGAAAATTTGCAACTGTACATGCACTTGGCCTCTGTGCCTCAGCTGTGTTTTCTTTTGGACAATTACTGGTATAAATTCAGTGAACATGACCAGAATGAAAGGATAAGTCAGCAACTCCACAATCCTTTCTTCTTCCTTCTGAACCAGGTTGATGTTCCTTTCCTGATAGGTGACAGCAGCAAATTAGGACACACTCATACCTGAGACCAATTGCACACAGTCGGAGAAGGAGGAGGAGGATGAGGAGGCTGGCAGGGGAGAAGTGCAGGGCAGCAGCTGGTTCCATGAGCACCCAGGGCAGGCTAGGGACGGGAGGCCCTGGGGTTACAGAGGAGAATCAGCCTGGGAGTCTTGGCACCTCAGTGCTGGTCGGAGCCCAACCTCTCCCGTTATAGTGAGTCTCATCAGTGCCCCAACTTCATGGAGTCCCCTGCATCCGAAGGCTCAGGTATCTCCCGAGAGAGGATTCCTTAAACATTCCATGAAGTAAGCCATCAATACAAAGATAAATGGGCCCTTTTCCGCCCTCTTCGGCTCACTTCTCTGGCCCAGGCAGTTTCTTCAGTTGTCGCTGGATTCTGTCACCCTCCTCCCTTCACTTCCCCTCCCCAGGAACTCAAACAAACAACCCCTAAAGCATCACTCAAAGCAAGGCCACCCAAATCCCCACCAGTAGCCTTCCCCTCTCCCAGAAACCCGTCTCGTGTCACAGCCAGGTTCACTTCTCCCACCCTGCTGTACTTACCCGGAGCTGTGGCGCCTTCCTTCCCTTTCCTACCTTCTAGAATTAACGTTGCGTTTTCTTTTCTCCTCTGGTTCTCAAATGACGATTTTCCAGTCCACCTTCTTCTCCAAGCTGCCCAGGGGCACAGGCACTACTAATTTTAAACCGTCCCAAAAGGAGAAAAAAATTGTACTTCCCCTTCCCTAGGTCGCCATGTCTGGAGATGCAGGAACCAGAGATCTGAGACCACGCACCTTCCCCCAGCCTCAAGATTTCCTTGAAGTTTAGAGTCCAGGATTGGCCGGGTGTAGGTAGACAGCCAATGGTGTTGAGCCTTATTTCTCAGCAGTTACTAGGTAGAATACACACGGAATCAAAAATTTCAAGCAACCAAATAACCTTTCGAGATTATCAGGCCTTTTTATTTCCTTTTTCTTTGTTCGAAAACAAGACTCTCTCTCTCTCTCTCTCTCTCTCTCTCTCTCTCTCTCTCTCTCTCTCTCGATTCCTTGAGGAGATTCCCTTGGGTTTGTCACGAGGTCGGTGGCCCACTGCTGGTGTCCGCGAGGGAGAGAGGCTCTATCTATGCAGAGGCAAATTTTGCTGGGGAGGAAACTTGAGGAGAAAACATAAGCCACCCTCTTAGCCAGAGGACTCTTGTTCAAGTCGCTGGCTTTGGAGGTTAGGCCTGGAGCACGGGAGGCTTGGGAAGCAGGCATGGCTGGTGGGGAGGGGGTAGCATAGGAAGGAGACAGCAGTTGCAGTGGCTGTTGCCAGAGGCCTTGTCATTGGTCAAAGCTATTGGATAAAGAGGTGCTGAGAATCCTGGTGAGGATCAAAAACCCTTTCCTTCAGGAGCTGGCATTCTGGTGGCTGACAGAAGATGGAATTGACCAAAACTTTCTAGTTATCCCTTCACCTTCTAGATAGTAGGTGGTAAGGTTGGATCCAAGAGCCACACACAAACACACACACCAGCACACCGCCACCATCCTCCCATCAACACTTTATCCCCTCTCCCGAGAGCTCCAATTTGTAGTGCTAAATTCCAGAATAATCTTCCGAGGCCCAGTTGTCAGTGTTCCTCTCAGAGTGTCTAAATGCTTGGTCTAGGCCTCCCAGTTCCCTTCTGATTGATTCAAAACTGTGCAGTTAATCGCTGGCAATGGCTCACGGTGGCCTTGCATCACAACATTGCACTCCCTGTGGTCAGCACTCCCTTTCCCACGCCATGCCTTTCACTTGAATTGTTTGCTCCATCTCTGCCCCTTGAAATCCTGCCCAGGCTTTTGGCAGCTACTTCCTCCAAGCCAACTCTGAATGTTCCTGCCTGAAGTGTTATCAGCCTCTTCTGACACCTAAATCTTTTGCTGTTCCATGTCTTGTCTTGTATTATTGTTATAGGTATGAACTGTGTCTTTGCTGTGATGGGTGTACCTGCTTCTCAGGACAGACTTCTGCAGGATGTGATTCCTCTCACGCCCACAGGGCCCAGCTCTAAGCTCTAAGCTCTGCTTTCAGCTGTTGTTCAATGCATGTGTGACATGCTCAGTGTAAGGTCATTCCCACCACATCATGGCCCAGTTCCTGGAGTCATTTGGCACCAGAGTGCGAGAGAGGTGCTAGTAAGTTAAGCCACTCTAGGTCAGGATTTCTAGGACTGGGAAGGAGGAACCAGTAGAGTTCCTTCTGCAGAAAGCTCTTTGATGAGAATAAACTAAAGAAAGCTCGGAGAACTATTTTTTCCATTGAACTGACCCTTAAACTTTCTTTCTCATGCAGTAGTCTCACATCACCTGATGTTTCTGGATTATCATTCAAATAGATTCTGGGTTGAGTGGCTCCTTGAAATTAAATACATCAGTATTGGGAACATTCCAAACAGGACTGGGCAGCTGTTGAAGAGGCAGAGAGAAGATGCAAGAGTCTGAGCATAGTCAGCCAGGATGAGATCTGACTTTATATTTTTTTACCTGAAGAAATAAGGCCCAGGGCTTTGAAGCAGCCCTTTTGCCCAGAACCATCCAGCTAAGCCAGGCCTCAGCCTCTGCCAAAGTTGATCTGAGCCAGAGGAAACATGTGTGTTCTGAAGAAAGGATCAGTTGAAGATGGGGTAGCTTAGAAAGAAATCCAAGTTCTGCTGGGGTGTGCCTGATTAGATAGTAACAACCTAACCCAATCATGCTCTGTAGTGGGAGGGATAGAGAGACAGGAAAAGAGATTCGCCCAGCAAAGTTCTTTATGGACCTACCAACCCTGGAAGAACCAGGACACAGGGTGACACTGGTTCCCTTTTTGTTTCACAATAAGCTACCATCTTTGAAGAGTAATATGGGTGTGTCATCTCCAGCTATGAGTACTCCCAGGGAAACCTAGACATCTTGGCACATAAAAAATCCATTCCTACTCTGCCCTGTTCAAATTCTAGATTCCTGACCCACAGAATCACTGAACATATTATAATAGTTGCGTAAGCTTCTGAATATCAGGACTATAGCAATATTAATGAGTACATTATCTTGCCTCAAAGAACAATTTTTTCAAAGAAGAAGAAATGATACTGAGTTTCTAAAAGACCAAACACAAGAAATTTGCTAAATTCTTTCCATCTTAGCAACCTTCTCTCTGCTCCGCCGGCCTTGAGTATTCTCTCTGCAATCCACCATCGTTTAGTCACACACCATGAATAGACAGTTCTTCCCACAGCTCCATGCACATCTGCTACAGGTATAACTGCTGGTCACATGTCATAGTCCTCTGGCTAGCCTGGGTCGGGTGTCCATCCAGACCCAGTCATGTGGAAATGAGCTGCAGGGCCACGTGATATGGACATGTACTGGAAGAGAAGAGGTCACTAATGCTAAATGGTACAGGGAGGTAGAGACCTTGAAAGCGTTCACTATATTCTCAGAGGCAGAGCCCTTCGGTAAACCACTGTGTCTCCATCCCATATTCTCTCCCTTCCTCCCCAATTTACCAATACTTCAAAACCTACAATTTTCTACAAGATAACAACACCTCCCCACCTCAGTAGTATTTCCCTTCTCCTTTGCCTGTAGCTTTATGCACCCGTGGTGCAGGTTTGGAAAAGCTTGTAGGTTGGCCGGTCTTGAGGATGGGAGTTGGCATCACGGGCCCGGCCGGCCAGTTTCAAACAGGGAGGATGGGAGTGGAGATGAGTCTCAGGCCTGGTCCTTAGGAAGATTCACAGGCTATATCACATTTCATATGGTTTCTTGTAGGTCCTAAAGTTGAGCCAAGTTATCCACATGGTAACTGACTCATGAGTGAACCCTTTATCCCATTTCTCATGTAAGTGGCTTTCTTTCATTTCTCAATTTATTTCTGCACTTGTGTTTCACAGGATCACTTCCCAAATCAGTGTAGTGAGCTGAATAGTGCCTTTACCCACCCTTTGAGCTATATCCCTCTGAAACTTATGAAAAGAATGTATAACACGGTAAAATGAATTTTACACAGAATTAGAATTATGGACCTTAAAATAGAAAGATTATTCTAAATTGTCTGGGTGATCTCAGTTTAATCATAGGAGTCTTTAAAGTAAAGGCGGACTGAGCAGTGGCTCATGCCTATAACCCCATCACTTTGGGAGATCAAGGTGGGTAGATTGCTTGAGCTCAGGAGTTTGAGACCAGCCTGGGCAACTTGGCGAGACCCTGTCTCTACAGGAAAATACTCCGGCATGGTGATGTGGGCCTGTGGTCCCAGCTACTTGGGAAGCTAAGGTGGGTGAATTGCTTGAGCCCAGGGGACAAAGTATGTGGTGAGCCGAGGATCACGCCACTTCCAGTCTGGGTGACAAAGCGAGTCCTTGTCAAAGAAGGAAAGAAAAAAAAAAGGAGGAGGTAAAAAGAATCAGAGAGATACAATGGAGAAAAAGATCTAGGAGATGAGCCTCAATGCACTGTTACTGTTTTGAAGATGGAGGAAGGGAGCTAGGAGCAGATTATGGCAGCCTCTAGAAATGGGTAAAAACCAGGAAACAACTGGGACCTCAGTCCTATAGATGAAAGGATCTGATTCGGACAACAGTCTGAATAAGCAAGGAAACAGATTCTTCCTTAGAGACTCCAGAAAAGAATCCAGCCTGCAGACACCTTGATTCTAGCCTGGTGAGATCCTATTAGGACTGACTTCTCACCTACAGAACAGTGAGATAATACATTTGTGTTGCTTTAAGTTTATGAATTTCTGAGGCCAGGCGCGGTGGCTCATGCCTGTAATCTCAGCACTTTGGGAGGCTGAGGTGGGTGGATCCGCAGGTCAGGAGATTGAGACCATCCTGGACAACATGGGAAATCCTGTCTGTACTAAAAATACAAAAAAATTAGCTGGGTGTGGTTTGCAACACCTGTAGTCCCAGCTACTTGGGAGACTGAGGCAGGAGAATCACTTGAACCTGAGAGGCAGAGGTTGCAGTGAGCTGAGATTGTGCCACTGTACTCCAGCCTGGGAGTAGAACAAGAGAATATATCCAATAAGGGTTTGTGAAAATGCTGCAGTGAGACAAACTGAGACTCGGTGAAATTACAGTGAGTGTGCAGACTACTTTACTTTACTGTGCTGAGTAGGTACCACAGTCTAGAAAAGCCAAGTTGAAGAGTAAGCATTAATGCCCACTTTAAACAGCTAGAATTTGACAACCACTTGCCAAGTAGAGGGGATACAGTGGTGAGTATTAATAGTGATGACAATGAGGAGCAGTTTTCCTAGCAGGCCTCCAGTTGAAAGGAATATGGGTTTAACATCCACCAATAATCAGGGGTGGACAGACCTGTTTCAGAGGGCTGAGGTCCATAGTGGGATTAAAAACATCACATAATTCTTCTAACTCTCCAATCAATTTTCTATCACAAAGAAATCTTTAAGTATTTATTCTGCCTGAAACACTTGGCAATGGAAAAGCTAGCTCTAGCTGTGCGATCTTATCCACATTTGTTAGGTAAACATACATCTTTCACGTGATTTATCAAGTGTGGCCTCTAGTCATCTTTCCAAGTCACATGTCATGCTGGGTACTATGAGGTTATTCTCTCAGCAAGACCTCTGCAGAGCTAATCTAAGTGTTGTGTCCTAAACTCTGACAATCAGCTGGGAAGGAGTAATAGAGGGTGTTAACTCCACAACCATAAAATTATCTCTACCCTGGGAGCTGTTCTGGGGAAGAAAGAAACCTCAGGGAGCTACATGTAGGCTCTTCCCAGGGAAAAAAATCAGGCTGGAAAAGAATAGGCAATTAGCCAGGGACTGAGGCTGAACATCCTCTAGCGTGGGAGTTATGTAAGTTACTTAACACCGTTACCCTGCCTCAGCTTTCCTTACTTGCAAAATGGGAACCACCCGATGGGGTGTTGTGATATTCAAAGTGACATCCACCAAAGTGTACAACTCAGCACTCAGAACAGTTTAAATTATCTGTTAATATTAGCTATTGCTGTTTAAATGCCAGCTCTGTTGTTCACTAGTCATGTCTACTTTGTAAAGTTAATTCACCTTTCTGCACCCCAGTTTCCTTATTTGTATAAAGGGACAATAGGTGAGTACCAAGCTCAAACAACTGTCATATGGAATCATTGAATGAATATCAGTAAAGTGCTTCAGTGGGTGCCTGTACCTTTATGGTTCTGATTGGCAGTTGTTATGGAGGAGGCCGTCAACTCCAGAATTAGGCAGGCAGAAGCAGAGATGTTGCTTCAGCCTGAGGCTCCCACTTTCAATTAGCTAAATCTGGGGCCACTGGTGTCTCCAGGGAATGATCAGGGACTAGGTCAGGATCGGGGGAACTCTCTACTTGTTTTGGTGTTGGGCAAATGGTCAGGGCAGTGGGCTCCAAGGTCAAAATTCTGAATACAGATACAGAGGCTCCAGAAGAGGTGTGCGGAAAATTGTAGATATGAGATCCATCCGTGGCATTTGTAGAATGAGATCTCTCAGTCTCATAGTCAGGAAGATCCCCGCTTTCCTAGGGGGCTCAGGAAGTTTCCAGGTTTGTTCTGGGATCAGTGAGGCCCGATACTTGATCCCATCAGTCAGCCCCATGGTCAGTATCCATTCTCTGGTGTCATTTGGCCAACCTTTTTCTCTCACGTTTTTACTACACACCCCAATATGCCACTTCTTTTCTGTCCCCCACTTCACTTCCACAGAAATGTCTCCCTGATGTGAAGTTTTCATGGCCAAGCACACAGTAACGCCATTCAAATCTCTCAGGGTTGTCTGGCAGATCCACATGACTCTTGGCACGCTGCACACACTCCTCTGGTCCTCAGAAACAAGGAGGATGGCATTTGCCGTGTCTGGATCAGAATGACATCTGCTGCAGAGAGTTTGAGGAGGAGTGTCCATGAGGTCCAGCCATTTTTCCTGGATTTCAGAGCCTCAGCATGCAAGGCCTGGACCATGCTGAGGAGGTCCTTACAGAACCACCGTCCCTAGCCTGCCCTGAATTTGAATCTCATCAGTGTTGTGGGAGAAAGCTCACTGAGGTCTTGCTTGTGTCAGAGGGGAAATGAAAGTAAGGTCAATGTCTGCTAATCCAATGCCCGATGCCCAGGAAGCAACAAGGATCCTCTTGCTACATTTTTCTTGTTTCCCTCTACACACAGCTCTGCCCCCTAATACTATAATCAGAATTACTTTTCAATCTTCACTCTCCCTCATAGAACTAAATGAGTTTCCCTTTTCTGATCTATTTTTCCATTACATCAATCTGTTTAATAAGTTGGAGCCTCATCTGAAGCATTTCCTCACCTGAAAAATGGGTATAAAAATATGAATCTCTAGCATAGTATAGGGGAATCATTTATTCAGCCCACAGCAGGGCATGTAGAGTTCTGATGTTCTATGCTTTGCAAGGCAGTCTCTGTGCTGGGCTCTGTGGGGGCCCCAGATTCACTCTCAACCTTCAGCTTTCTCCACCCTCTTCTGAGCCCCAGAATCATACTCTAAGGACGGTGCCACTGGGCTCCCTTATCCTCTAGTTTGCACAACCAGATTTAGCCAATGGGAGGCCTGATAGAAGATTGGAAGAAGAAGAAAGGAGAACACACGGTTTATTTTCCTGCTTCACTCCCTGCCAGCAGCTGGTACTGCTCTAACAAAGACCTGACAACTCTTCTCAGGAAGCCCTCTCTTTGTGCTACTTTTCTCTGGGTTCCAGTAACTGCCTCCCCTCCTAGGAGTGGAGACAGCTCCCCCTGTTAGAACCATGGGGGCACTGCACTTTTCCTTGTTGCTTTCCCTTAACCCTCCTTTCTGCAAACCTTCTTCAACCACTTAATTATGAACTCAAATCATCTCTTTCTAACTAGGTTTTTAACCTATGGATATTTATTATTCCTTCAGTCTTCACCTCAACCCCAACAAAACACAGATTGCAATTTTCATTTAAAAATGTGGAGGCCAAAGCTCAGAAGCATTAAATCCTTTGAGGTGACGCAGGCGGTAGGTGGCATGAGAAGCCTAGGAAGGGCAAAGTTCTTTGGGCAGGCATCGCCTCCTCTCCTTGGCATTTCCACCTTCACTCTCCCTGCAGTATCACTCAGTGTGTGTCTCCTTCCCCTCAGCTCCACCCTTTATGTGTCTTCCTTCCCAGGAAGGTCTGGGGAGAAGCAGAGCAATTCTCTCTGGTTCCTGAGCTCTCAGCAGGAAGGGTCTTGGAGATGGGCCCACTTTTCAGATTGGGATTTAATGTTGTCTATCCCAAACTCTCTTAGTCAAAGAAGTTTTCTTTAAATCACAAGGATTGGAGGAGGAAAAAGGCATGCGGTCCCTCAGGTTGTTGGTGTAAAAATACAGTGATTTACTCACCAGGCTTGAAGAGGGCCATTTTGCATTACAGAGGAAGGAGACACATAAGAAAATGTCAGTAGTTTTGTTTTTCTCCCTCATTCTCCTCTCACTACACGTTTTCTCTCCTTTTCTTCAGCGTCTCTTCCAGGGTTCAGCCTCCCTCCTGTACAGGTCTGATGGATCAGAGGTGGCACCTTCTAAACAGTATGTGGGAGGTGCAGGCTGCCGGCTATGCTTTGCCTGGGCATGTGCAGGGTCAGGAGTCTCTCCCAGAGGCTCAGAAAGCAGAAGTCAACCCTACATTCAAGATTAGATCTATGGGTTAGAAATGATTAATCCAACTGAGAACGTCAATGAGTCACAGCAGAGAAAAGGTTAAGAATGTTCTGTAGTGCATGACAGAAGCCCAGAGGCATCAGGCTCACTCACCATGATAGGCCAAAGACTTCTCTCCCCCTACAATGAAGAAAGACAGAATGTCACACCAGACACTGCCTTTGCTCTGTTGGTCCCTTCCCCTTCCTTTCGTGACCATCTAGTCTTTCTTTTTGGCCATTCCACCCTTCCCTATGGTCTCACTCTGCATGCTGAATTCTGTCTTCACCTCTTCTTCTTAATATCCAGTCTGGGAACACTGGTTGAATGCTAGTGGCAAGGCAGTCACTGTGGGAAGTTCCTTCCCAATGGAACCCACCTAATCTATTTTGAATCTGTCTATACTCCTGTGCCTGGGCATAGAATTGTCACCATGTCTATATGTAGATGTCTAGGAGTACAAGATCCATCCTTGTCAATCTGTATCATTTCCTACCTTGCTCTAAAAAGAATTTGGGAAATTTAATGCACAATTTCAGGGACTAGAGTTTGATGCAGTTATGATAAATCTGTATGAACTGAGCCACTGTAGCTACTCCTCTTTATTAGACACATTTTCTCCCTCTCTCTTTTCTAATTTTCTTATCTCACCCATCACCCCTTACTTATTTTCCTTTCCAACATCCTCTAGATTATAGAAAAAGCAATACGGGTTTAACGTGGCGGAGGTATCGTATTTGTTTGCTGTACTTAGGAACCTTTTGGTTTTTATCCGATTGTTTTTGGGGCATAGTATATAGCATTTTTTCCAGTTTGTGAGTTGAAGATCTTTTCTTTTCTTGGGGAAGAGGAGGAGCTCCTTCTGGGTGGTTTCTCAAAGAGCCACACTTATTTTCTTTTCCTGAGTAAAGGATCTAACCAGTTTCCAATCCTGGGCAAAGACTTATGGGCTAGAACTTGTTTCCAGAAGTAGAAGACAGTCATAGATTCAAATTCAGAGAAAATGTCAGAGTCACTCACGAGCCATGTACTGGATTTTTCTCCACTCTGCAATGGAATGAACAGGGAAGGAACAGTTACCAAGGCCCTCAAAGTGGGGATAAGAAGACATGCCTGGGTCTCTGGGGAATGGGAACTTTTACACAGGTTCACTCTGGAGCTTCTCTCTGGAAAATAAGCAAAAGAGAGAGAGAGAAAAAAGAACAGTTATGGGTGAGGGGATTTGGAAAATAAACCTTAAACATGATGCAGTGCCAGGATGGGTACAGGGGGTGAGATCTTCAGGCTGAGCCTGCAAGCCTGGGGGCCCAGATTCTCTGCTCGCTTTGGATACCTCTTGAAGGCTTATTTCCTGCTTTGTTGCAGCATATCCGTTCTTTCATCTCTCGCTCTCTTTCCTTGTCTCCTGGACAGAGCAATTTTCCTTCTGTTGTCTCCACAGATGGCGGCTCCTGCGAAGCAGCGAGCGGATAGGCAGAGGTCCTGCCAGGGCTGCGATCCAGGGCTGGGCGTCCTGAAGAAGGGTCTGCGAAGGGAGAGCTGTGAGTCATGGCAGCTAGTGCCCTCAGCCTCCCCAACCTTAAGCGCCCCCAAGCTTGGCCTCAGCCAGGTTAGGGGCATGAATCAATCTCATTGGAGGTTAAGTAGTGCACTCTCCCTCAAGTCTCAGAGGACTGTAGAAGACTTTAGTAAACCCTCACTACAAGCTACTACTGTTACTATCTTGAGATGTCTAGCTCTCATATGCAAGTGCTTAGGCAAGAGTCATACTCATTTTCCATCTTTTTTCAACCAGTAACACATTTACATGGTTCAAAATGACGTGCGATAAGTCATGCAGACTCTCACATCCTACCTAGTACTCCCTCCCTCCATCTGTTAACTTCTCCTTGGTTCACTTAATATTATGCTTAGGGACATAAACTGTGGAGTCAGAGGGCATGGGTTTAAATGCTGTCTCCCCATGCTGACTAGCAGTGTGATTTTGGACTACTTATATAATTTCTCTGTTTGTATTGGCCTATTCTATAAAATGAGGTAATGATAATACCCATCTCCTGAGAGTTAGAATAATTAAATTAATACTTATAAAAAGGCCTGTGGGCTTGGCCCAGTGGCTCATGTCTGTAATCCCAGCACTTTGTGAGGCCAAGGCAGGCAGACCACTTGAGGTCAGGAGTTCGAGACCAGCTTGGCCAACATGGTGAAAACCCATGTTTACTAAAATTACAAAAATTAGCTGGATGTAGTGGCATGTCTCTGATGTCTCTGTAATCCCAACTACTAGGGAGGCTGAGGCTGTAGAATTGCTTCAGCCGGGAAGGCGGAGCTGCGGTGGAGTCAAGATTGTCCACAGCATTCCAGCCTGGGTGGCAGAGTGAGACTCTGTCTCTAAATAAGTAAATAAAGTGCCTGATGTACAGTGAGGGTTACCAAATTGCTTGTTAATTTTAAAAATGTAAATTAAATAACACAATCAAGAACTAGAAAAGTCCATTAAAATATGTTCCTATTTTTCCTCTTGTTTAAACTAAAAATAACATTCTATACACATCACTCTGCATCTCACTCTTCTGTGTAAAGTGTGTCTTGGAGATCTTTCCACATTAGTATAGAGAGAATTATCTCTTTTCTTTCACAACTGGGCAGTATTCCCTTGTATGGAACTTCACCATCAGTTAGCATCTGTATAGCTTCACAACGTTATACAATCATAATCAAGAAACTTCTTACAGGCTAGGCTGGTGACTACGCACTTACAATCCCAGCGCCTTGGGAGGCTAGGACAGGCAGATCAATTGGGGTCGGGAGTTTGAAACCAGCTTGGCCAACATGGTGAAACCACATCTCTAGCAAAATATAAAAAATTGGCCAGTTGTGGTGGTGCGTGCTTGTAATCCCAGCTACTGGGGAGGCTGAGACAGGAGGATCTCTTGAATTGAAGAGGAGGAGGTTGCAGTAAGCTGAGGTGCACCATTGCACTCCAGCCTGGGCAGAAGAGTGAGACTCCCTCTCCAAAAACAAACAAACAAACAAACAATCAACAAACAAACAAAAAAACCCCAGAAACCTTTTACATGTATCATCTCATACAAATGCAAGCATATCCCAGAACTGGAATTTTGGATCAATAAATATATAGTTTGGATAGATCCCCCAATAGAGCTTGTGCTAATGCACACCAAAAATACAAGTGACAAGACCAAATGACTGAGAATCACTGCCTTCCTACATTCCTGCTATAGTCATGTGTTATCAAGCAAGGCAGTGTGGTTTTGATTTTTGCCAATATCATAAGTGAAAAATGATTTCCTATATGTTTCCCTAATGAGTGAGAAAGAGCACCCTTTTGTGGGTTATTTCCTTTCCTGTGAATTAACAATTCTGGAGCTTTGTTAACATTTTTCACTCAGTTTTCAAATCCTCTGTTTCAAAGAATTAGCTCTTTCACTATGAGTTTGTAAATATATATATGTTTTCCCATTTTGTCATTTGACTTTACATAAGGAGCTTATCTTATGATTTCTCCCCAATTCCCTGCCTGTCACACCTCTGTTTCTGTGGAATGGGAGTGATCAGTAAATGTTTGTGGCATGAACAGCTCTGTGGAGTGGGAAGCTCCTGGAGCAGGGGTAGCCTCAGGTCCATAGCACAGGCCTTACATGCAGTGCAGAGGCCTTGGAGTTGACCGCAGAGACTCACACAGTAGAGACTCACACATTCCCTTTCATCAACTGCCACAGCTCAGCTCAGTAAAGCTGAGGCCAAGCAGGAGTACTGACTGTGATGATGCTGGCTGTCTTTTCCCAGGCCAAGGAGGAATTTCTGATGATGCAGGATACACCCTCCCAGGCTGCCTCTCATGATCACGGATGCACTCTGCATGCAGGCCCACTCCATCTGCAACCTGAGTGCTTTCACAGCCGGGATGTACTGTCCTTGGTGTTACTCCACTGTATTTGAGGTTGTGGAGGTACCAATGACGGTGGACCTACCTCCAGATGGATCCCTCCATCCTCATAACCCTTCACTTCAATGTAGAAAGATCAGAACCCAATGCTGTGGAAGGTTAAATTGACATAAGTGAGAACTCCTGTATCAGGGAGAGTCTCAATAGGAATCAATGGCAGACTCACATTTGATAATTCTAGAAAGATTTCATTCAGGAGTTATTTACACAAGTGTGATCTCTTGATGAGAAGAAAAATTAAAATGGGCTAGTGCAGTATCCCAGGGTCAGTAAGGTGGGGTTATTCCCACCCACCCCAATTACCAGAGGGAGGAGAAGAGGGATGTGTTCCGTAGACATAAAAGAAGAGATTGATGCATTGAGGACTTTCTTGAGTTGACCTGTGACCTTCAGCAAGGCAATGCAGCCAGCCTGAGGGTATCTTGCAGTCAGGAAGCCAGGGAATAAGCACCCAGACCTCTCCCTTTTCTCTTCTTCCTACCATTGTCTTCTATAGCTCCCCTTAAGCCAAGCCCAACCCAGAAGCCATGAGGCAAGGGATTGCACTGAGAAAGAAAAAAGCTGTCCTCGGCATCTGGAACCTGACACCAGGTCTTGAAGCATCCTCCTATTGGTTGTGAACAATTTCACAGAACACAAAAAATAGTGCTTTATCACTGTGACAGATCATGGGAAATACAAGACCACCCCACATCATGTGTGATGCAGAAAAACATGAACATTGTCCAAGCCACAACAATGGCCGAACATCCCCCATCGGCAATGAGGAATTTCTGCCTCTTCATCAGTTACAGCTTTAGTTTCACCCTCGTCTCCTTCCTCCTGGATAAGCTTGATTAAGGCTCCCACTCGTAGAGTCGTCTCGACACCTTCAGGCAGTATCTCATGTCCAGAGCAGAATGCTAAGTCTATAAACCCATCCCCAAATCCCCTAACACAAGACCACATTTGTATAAGTCTGCTCTAAAACTTCCTTTGAAGATACTGCCAGCTCCCCATGATGTGTGTTCTTCCTCACTGCAACAAGTAAAACATGCCTCATTCTACTACAAAAATGTTTCTGGAGTACTGGTTGACACTGGCAGCAGATACAGTCATATTCACCTCCCAGGGCCCATGGTAGTGTGCACATACAGAACTAGCAAAGCCGTCCTGTTACACAACTAGACCAAAATGACTGTGTACCAGTCACTGAAGGTGATTTCTAATGCTTCCTATCCTTAGTCATTCATTTTTCCCTTATATCTCTGGTCTCAGCGGGAGGAGTTGTTTACTTGAGCATGCCTGGTATAGCAGGAATTCTTTCCTACAAAGAGGGCGTGTGTCTTTCTTAAGGGCCTCAGGAAAGCTAAGTTGGAAGGCAGTGCAGGCAATTGCTAGTGATCAGCCAGGGAGTGTCTGCAGTGCTTTTGGAAAGAGGACTCTGCCTCTGCTCTGGATCCTACAGAGAAATGTTCTCAGAGACAAACCTGGGAGGCTCACCTGCAACCCTTCAGCTCCACCAGACTTTCATAAGTCACCATCTTGGAAATAACACAAGTACTTTCCACTGTCAGAGACCATCTTGGAAATAACACAAGTACTTTCCACTGTCAGAGGCTGTGATGTTGTGTATTCGGAGAGCAGCCTTCCCTGCAGTGATGCCATCCCGTAGAATCGAAGTTCTCCCACGATACGGTGCACTCTGCCTGTCTTCCACTTCCTTTCCATCTGCATACACGTTCACCACCTGCCTTAGGCTGGAACTCACCCACCTCAGCTCCATAGTCTCTGCACTCATGGTCGGGAACAGGTGACAGGGCAGATCAACGTCTTCACCTACCATGGCCAGGATGGGCCCATGGGGTCCAAGCACAGCAAACTGAGCTGTCGGCACAGAGGGAGGTTCTGTCAGTGGGTGTTGGAGTTGGGGTCATGAGAGGAAGGGTAGTTCTCAGACAGGGAAGGCGAGGTGCAGAGAACCTTGAGGGGAAACCAATCCTAACAGAAGCACCCTTTGTCTCTTTGTGACAGGTGATCCTTCAGGTTGGAATGGACTTCCAGGTATGGGAAGGAGTAAAAAGTTCTATGAGGACATTCATAGGTAATTGTCTGCTTCAGAAACAAGCATTGCATCATTCCCTACCTGAGCAAGGAGTAAGCAGCTGGACCAAGAGGAGGCAAACACGAAAGTTGAGCAGAAGAAACGCCAGGGAACTTGCCATTTTCATCTGTGCTGCATATCAGGAGATACCAGAAGGTAAGGGACAGACACAATGGCCCAGAAAAAGCTTTAGGATTCCACATGGAAACGTCCACTTCCCCAGGGGCAACTCAAGTATGGTGACCAAAGAAGATCTTACCTCTGCCAAAAAGGTCTGTCCTCAGTGTCTTTACCTTTGAGTCTTAACATGGAAAATTACCTGTAAAACCATGTCTATGTATAATGCACATGTTATTCAATCGAGAAATCCTTGACTGTACTGCTTGAAAATATTCAGAATCCTATCACTTCCCCAAACTTCCCCTACCATTTCCAACCCTCTGCCATCCTGCTCTGTTTCATGCAGGACCCTCTTTACTGGGCTCCCTGGTTCCACTGGGATCCACTATTGTGGGTGTCCACCACTGTGGACTCCTCAAAGCCCCAACTCTTGGCCATCACCATGGTCAAGTCATGGCCCAGTGGACTCCTGGTGGGATTCAGGCAGACTGCCTGGTGGGGGCTCTGGAGTCAGTCAGGGGTTGAACCCACCACATTTAATCCGAGGCTAGTGATCAGAGAGCTGCAAATTAAGACCAGGACTTACTCATCATTTCTTTCTTCCCTTCATAAAGTCATTCAACAAATATTTACTGAGCACCCACAATGGGTGAGGCCTACTATATTAGTGTTAAGGACATAAAGAAGGTAAGCAATAGGTAAAGTCTCTAAGATTCACAAGGTGCGTGATCTTGTTCATAGGACAAAACCACTGGAACTTTCTTTATTCATACAATACCATGAAGTATGAAATTTAGAAAGTGCACAATTGGTTGAGCAATTCCACTTTCTGATGTCTAGTCCAGCAAAATACTTGCATGGGTGCAGTGAGAAGCGTCTGTGAGAATGACGTTGCAGAACTATTTTTAAAGTATAAAAGTGGTAACTAATTGAACCATCCACTCAACAGGAGACGCTTAGAGGAATGACAGCTCATCCCTCAGAGGGAATTCAATGCAGTAGGTAAAAAGAGTTGATTTATTGTCATGAACCTAGGTAATGGTGATACACTAAGCGGTCAAAAAGCACATTGCAGAACTATACTAATGATTCGATTGAAAAACAAAAGCTAAGCTATACATTTCTGCATATTTATAGATGTAAATGCCTGCAAAAGTCTAAAAAGATGCATGCTAAACTGAAGATCGGAGGTTAAGTGAGCGAAAGATCACTTTGGCCTTTTGCTCCCTTTACTTTTAAAATATTGAAATGCTTTAAATTTAAAATTTTTCATGTGCTACTTAACAGTAATTATTATGAGTGATAATACTGACTGGAACATATTAGCTGCTCAGTAAATACTAGCTTCTCAACAGCTTCTTCCAAAGCAAAGGAGCATGAGGTCTTCAGCCATAACACCCGCTGCTGTGGCCACCTGAGTCTGGGAATGGCCTCTGAAAACAAGGTCTGCAGACAGACGTGGGGAGGGATGAAGAGGAAGCACTGGAACAGAGGTCTGTGCAGCCGGCCATCCTCCACCCCTACCTGCATCTTGCACCCACCCAGACTAAACATTGCATTTCACATCTTCTGTTCCTCAAAACTGCTCTTTATGTTGCTACAGAAGGGGTATCATTTTTATTATCATTGGTTTCAAAGTTAACAATTTCTCTGCTCTGCTTAAAGTGAGACATATGTTTTCATTCTTTTTAAAGGATGTTTATATTTTTCTTCCTGATTATAGTCAATATTGCAAATGAAGAAAAGCATAAAGGAATAAAAGTTTAAGTAGTGGCTCATGCCTGTAATCTTTGCAATTTGGATGGTCAAGGTGGGAGGATTCCTTGAGCCCAGGAGTTTAAGACCAGCCTGGGTAACATAATGAGACCCCCATTTCTACAAATTAATCAATAAAATTAAAAATCTGTAGTTGTAATCATATACTTTGGTAGTAGAAACATGAATACTTCTTGAAGCATTTTGGTCATATATACAGCAAGCTTCTTTAAAAAGTTACATGCTCTACCAAGGAAATGCTATTAAAAAAAAAGAAGTTTTATGCTTTACCCAAAAGTTCCACTTATAGGAATTACTGTTGAAGGAGAAAAAAAGTCAGAAATTAAGACAAAAGTTTATGTCTGAGGCTGTTAAATATAATAAAATCTACAGTAGCCAAATGTAAATAATTGAAATAGCCAAAATTAAGAAAGTTTTAAAAAATAATTATATATTCATACAATGAAATAGATTGTTCCATTGAAACACATATATTGGGTTATGAGGAAATGTTTAATGGTAGAAAAAACAGATACTGTACCTAAATCATACAAAACAGGGTTTAATGTATGGATCTAATGATGTTAAAATGATAAATAATTGCCGTTCATTAAAAACATGATTCCTAAAGGCTGCATGGGAATCTCTTTTATGATTGAACCATGTATTGTTTGTCTATCCCCCGCCTGTTGTATGTGTATGCTGGTTCAGATTTTTCTATATTATAAATATATCTGTAATGAACACATTTACATATGAATCTATAAGGCACATCTCTTTCTAGAATCTCTTAGAATAGATGGCTTGAGTTGGCCAAAACAGATTTTAAAGATTTTTTGCCTTTTTTCTGACCACAATACGTTCTTAAGAACGTGCAGTTGGAATATTTCTTCATTTATGTTGTCTCCGTTTTCTTCCACCAAATCCCAACATCTGCAGGTCTTTATTCTTTGCACTACTTGCCTCTTCCCCATGTGCCCACATGTGTGCGTGGTTGCCCATGTGCGCGTGCACGCACACACACACACACACAGGCACCTCACCCTTTCTCAGGGTGAGTACTCTTCCTGCATGCCCACTCACCACTCTCAATGATTCAGCAGGCATTGTAGCGCAGGCTGTAATCAATATCCCCCACTTACTTCTTAGTATTCCCCTCTGAAAATCACAGCTCACTGAAGAAAGGCGGTTAATAGTTCTCCATTCTTTCTATTATGGTTGAATCTCCATCTGGAAGAAAGGAAAAAGAAAGCAGAAGCTGTCTGGTCATCTTGAGGAATAATAACAATCTCTCGTTGGAAGAATTAGTTTTTTGATTGGCTCAGAGGTGGTGTTTCTCATCAGTTGCTGGGCAGAAACCACTGAGGAAGGTTGAAATGAAAACTGAAAGTATGCTGAATTGTACACGTTGAAGAAAAATTCCAGCCCTACCTCCCTTAGTATTTCTGTTTCTGTGTTTGTCTATTTGAATCATTCTTGCATGTACATGTATATAAGTATTTCTATGTATTTACTTAAGTCTTTTATCATAATAGAAATATCAGCAGAACAAAATGAGAAAAGATTATAATGTGGTGAAGACAGAAAGATGTGCACTAATTAAAATGCTACTGTGGCAGTTTGTTAACATTTGCTTGCATGAATATGGGACATGAAGGAGGAGGAGATTTTACTACAGAGTCAAATAAATGTATACATGGAAAGAAAGCCAGACACAGCGCACATTTTTAAGCACCTCCAGCATCCAGGCTTAGGATCTGTTATCAAATAATATAATTTTTCTGGTTTCCAGAGGCAGTGCTGCTTGTCATGTTTTACCTTTTTCAGCAAATTTTTAGTGTGGGTGTTTCTGAGCATCTTCATTCACCCTCAGCTCCTGGTTTGTGCTATATTGTATTTTCCTGTGTATTTATTTCTCGTGCTGCCAGTGGAGTACATATTATCTGAAGCTGGACTCTAGATAATCTAGACTGCGAATACCATCTCTGTAAGAGGTCTGTGGGACAAACTGGTTCTTCCTGTGGCCTAGGACCTCAAAACACACTTTTGGGATTTGCAAGTCAGTGATCAAAACTCCTAAGATTAAGATGTGACTGGGGTTGGTGAAATTTGATTATATTGTAACAGTTTGAATTTAGGCTGTGCAGTATCTGGTTGAGATGACTGGTCGCCTCTGCATCATGCAGTCCCCCTTTCTTCTTGGTGATAAGGCCTAATTTTCTTGGGTACTGCAATAGGCTCTGCTGTCTCATAGATACCAGAAAGCAAGGGACTAAGTTGGAATCAATAGTTTGTAGGTGAAAGTTGTAGGCTTGTGCTTCTCCCAGAGAATGCTTAGTCTGGAGGCCTCCAATTCCCTCCTGATTCAATTCAAACTTTGCAGTTAATGTGCCAATAATGGCTACACAGTGGCCTTGCATCACAACGTTGCACTCCCTGTGGCCAGCGCTCCCTTTCCCATGCCATGCCTTTCACTTGAATTGTTTGCTTCATCTCTGCCCCTTAAAATTCTCCCCAGCCTTCGTGCCTATTTCCTCCAAGAATGACTCTGAATGTTTCTGCTTAAAGTGTTCTCAGCCTCTTGTGACACCCAAATCTTTTGCTGTTCCCATGTCCTGTCTTATATTATTGTTATTCAGGTATCCACTGTGTCTTTGCTGTGGCTACAGTACCTGCTTCTCTGGACAGATTTCTGCAGGATGTGATTCTTCTCTCCTTATAGGGCTCAGCCTTAGCTCTGCACTCAGCTGATATTCAATGCATGAGTGACATGCTCAAGGTAAAGTCATTCCCACCATAGTATGGCCCGGTTCCTGGAATCATTCGGCACCAGAGTGTGAGAGAGAGATGGCAGCAGGATTAAGCCACTCTAGGTTAGAAGTTCAAGGACCAGGAAGGAGGACCCAGTAGGATTCTTCTGTAGAGAAAGCTCTTTGATGAGAATAAGCTAAAGCAAGCCCTGAGAAGTGCTTTTTCTTTTGGACTAACCCTTAAACTGTCTCTGTCTGAAACAGTAGCCTCACCTATCACTTGGTGCTTCTGGAGTATAATTAAAATTGGATTCTAGGTTGAGTGGCTAATGAGGATAAAATCATAGTAAGTATTGGATCATTCCAGCCAAGCCTGGGCAGTTCTTTGGAACAAACAGAAGAGGTGGCTGTAAGGGTACAAGAACTTGGCCGGTCAGGATAAGATCTGGCTTCAGATTTTTTATCTGAAGAAATAATGTCCAGGTCTTCTGACACAGCTTGTGCCAAAAGTATCCAGCAGAGCCAGGTTTCACCCTCTGCCAAAGTTGATCTGAGCCAAAGGGAAACATGTGTGTTCTAGGTAAGAAGAGGGTTGATTGCTCATCAGGTAGCTTAGCAAGAGACCAGCTGATATGGTTTGGCTGTGTCACCAGCCAAATCTCATCTTGAATTGTAGTTCCGATAATCCCCACGTGTTGTAGGAGGGACCTGGTGGGAGGTAATTGAATCATGGGGGCAGTTATCTCTATGCTATTCTCATAATAGCGAGATCTTAAGACATCTGATGGTTTTATAAGGGACTTTCCCACCTTTTGCTCAGCACTACTTCTTCCTGCCATCACGCAAAGAAGGACGTGATGCTTCCACTTCTGCCATGATTATAAGTTTCCTGAGGCCTTGCCAGCCATGGTACTGTGTGTCATTTACACCTCTTTCCTTTACAAATTACCCAGTCCTTCATAATAGCATGAGAATGGACTAATACGGTATATTGGTACCAGTAGAGTGGGGTGCTGCTATAAGGATACCCGAAAATGTGGAAGCAACTTTGGAACTAGGCAACAGGCAGAGGTTGGAACAGTTTGGAGGGCTCAGAGGAAGACAGGAAAATGTGAGAAAGTTTGGACCTTCCTGGAGACTTGTTGAATGGCTTTAACCAACATGCTGATAGTGATATGGACAATGAAGTCTAGGCTGAGGTAGTCTCAGATAGAGATGAGAACTTGTTGGGAACTGGAGTAAAGGTCACCCTTGCTATGCAAGAAGACTGGCGACATTTTGTCCCTGCCCTAGAGACCTGTGAAACTTTGAACTTCAGAGTGATGATTTAGAGTATCTGACGGAAGGAATTTTTAAGTGGCAAATATTGTTAATATCCTCTCAAATATCTAAATGCTTAGCCTGGAAGCCTCCCATTCCCTTTCACTTCAGTTCAAAACTTTGCAAGTAATACACTAACAATGGCTTCACGGTGGTGGAGAAAGCAGAGCGTAAAAGTTTGAAAAATTTGCGGCCCGATGATTAGATAACAAAGAAAAATCCATTTTCTGAGGAGAAAGGCAAGCCGGCTGCAGAAATTTGCATAATAAGGAACCAAATATTAATCACCAAGACTATGGGGAAAATGCCCCCAGAGAATGTCAGAGGTTTTCCTGCTAGACCCTTCCATCACAGATCCAGAGGCCTGGGAGAAAAAAATGGTTTCCTAGGCTGGGCCCAGGGCCCCCCTAGGCTGTATGCAGTCTAGGGATTTTGTGCCCTGCCTTCCAGCGGATTCAGCTCTGGCTGTGGCTAAGAGAGGCCAACATACAGCTCAGATGATTGCTTCTGAGGATGCAAGCCACAAGCCTTGGTGACTTTCACATAGTGTTGGGGCTATAGGTGCACAGAAGTGAAGAATTGAGGTTTGAGCACCTCTGCTTAGATTACAGAGATTGTTTGGAAACTCCTGACTGTCTTGGCAGAATTTTGCTGCAGGGGCAGAATCCTCATGGAGAACCTCTGTGAGGGCAGTTTGGAACAGAAATGTGGGGGTGGAGCCCCTACACAGAGGCCTCACGGGGGCACTGCCTAGTGGAGGTATGAGAAGAGGGCCATCATCCTCCAGACTCCAGGATGGGGATCCACTGACAGCTTGTACTATGCACCTGGAAAAGCAGCACTCAATGCCAGCCTGTGAAAGCAGCCAGGAAGGGACTATATCCTGCAAAGCCACAGGGGTGGAGTTGCCCAAGGCTATGGGAGCCTATCTTGCATCGGCGTGACCTGGATGTGAGACATGGAGTCAAAAGAGATTATCTTGGTCCTTTAAAGTTTAATGACTGTCCTATTGGATTTTGAACTTGTATAGAGCCTGTAGCCCTTTTGTTTTGGCCAGTTTCTCCCATTTGGAATGGGTGTATTTACCCAATGCCTGTACCCCCATTGTATCTAGGAAGTAACTAACTTGCTTTTGAATTTTCAGGTTCATATGGGAAAGGGACTTACCTTGCCTCAGATGAGACTTTGGACTTAGACTTTGGGTTAATGCTAGAATGAATTAAGATTTTGGGGGACTCTTGGAAAGGCATGATTGTGTCTTGAAATGTGAGGATATAAGACATGGGAGAGACTGAGGCGGAATGATATGGTTTGGCCGTATCCCCATCCAAATCTCATCTTGAATTGTAGTTCCCATAATTCCCACATGTCATGGGAGGGACCCAGTGAGAGGTGTCATGCGGTGGGAATCTTGGGGGTGGTTACCTCCTTGCTCTTCTTTTGATAGTGAGTTCTCACAATATCTGATGATACTATAAGGGGCTTTTCCCTCTTTTGCTCAGCACTCACCCTTCCTGCCATCATGTGAAGAAGAACATGTTTGCTTCCCCTTTCACCATTATTGTAAGTTTCCTAAGGCCTCCCCAGCCAGGAAGAACTGTGAGTCAATTAAATCTCTTTTCCTTATAAATTACTCAGTCTCAGGCAGTCATTCATAGCAGCGTGAAAACAGACTAATACACCAGGTTGTACTAAAGTGGGTCACATTAGATAGTGACAACCTAACACAATCATTCCCTGTCATGGGAGGGATAAGCACAGAGGAAGTGTCGCTTCAGCAAGGTTCTCTGTGGATCTGGTGTACATGGCAGTCGTGGTAGAACCAGGACCCAGACTGAACACTGATCCCTTCTTGATTTGCAAATGAATTTCAATTTTTGATGGCAATTTGGGCAAGTCTCTTCCTTTGAGTCATCTCTAGCTATGGAGTCCTTCCAGGGGAGGCCCAGACTTTTTGGTGAAGAGAAAAACCATTCCTACTTTGCCCCTTTCAAATTCCAGATTCCTGCATTACTAAATCAATGAGGATAGTACCATGATTGTGTAAGTTGCTAATTTTCCAGATTAAAACAATATTAGCCAATACATATACCTTATCTCAAGAGAACACATTTCCCAGAACATACTAGAATGATACTGGGACCCTAAGGGAAAAAAAGGTAAGAAAATTGCCCAAAGTCCTTCCATCTTGAAGCTTCCTCTCTGCACATGTTCTTTGGTCTGCTGTTTCCACAGTTCACCTTCTTTTCCTCTTTTGGACCATAATGTGAGTGGAAGAGTTCTTCCCACAACTCCCATGCACTCCTGCTACAGGTACAGCTAGTCATGTGTCACTTGAAGGTTCCCTGGCCTAGCCTGGGTCGGGTGTCCATCCCAGACCCAGTCCATGTGGTGAGGCTGCAGGGCCATGCTATACAGACATGTATTGGAAGACAGGAAGTCACTAATGCTAAATGAATGTGGTGCAAGGAAGGCAGAGGGACCTTGAAAGGCATTCACTATATTCTCAGAGGCGGAGCCCTTAGAACAGATGCTGTTGATGCCCCATCCCATATTCTCTTGACCTATTACAATTTGCCAGTAGTGGATGAACACAGCTTCCTTCAAGGGTTACAACATCTTACCTCAGTTATTTGTGTCTCTCCTCCTCTGCTTTCTCTAACACCAGTCGTATTTGCTTTTTCTTGCAGATACACAACCCAACCTTGAAGTACAGCAGAACTAACATTCCCAGGGGCAGCTTTCAACCAGTTTAAGCAAAGGAGGATGTGAGATGTTGATAAATGTGCCAGGGTCCCCAGCCCTTAGGAAGATTCTGACATATATTCCACAATTTCACATAATTTCTTAGTGTCCTGGGTGCGATAAGCTGAGTTGTCCATATGGTGACTGAAAACCTAATGAACTCTTTAAGCCATTTCTCACACAATTGGCTTATCTCCTTCTCTGATTCTCTCTTTCTGCACTTGTGTTTCCTGGGATGATTTCCCAAATAAGTGGTAGCTTCAATAGTTCTCCCTCCATACACACCTAGTGATATTTATTGTGAAACATGTGACAATGATATATAACATGGCAAAATGGACCTTATAGAACTAATGGTATTGACCTTTACATTTAGTGATTATTCTAAATTATCTGGGTGGACTTAATCGAATCACAGGAGTTCTCAAAAGTAGAAGGCAGAAGAATCAGAGAGATGCAATGGAAAAAGAACCAGACAAACTTCAAAGATTGACAGGTCCTCAATGCACAGTTGCTGCTTTGAAGATTGAAGAAGGGAGCTGCGAGCTGAAAAATAGCAGCCTCTAGAGATGGGAACAGTCTTCAGCTGTAAACCAGTAAGCAACTGGGACCTCCATCTTGTAATTGCAAGGAATTGAATTCTGCCAACAATCTGAATAAACAAGAAAACATATTGTTCTCTACAGCCTCCAGAAAAGAATCCAGCATGCAGACACATTGATCTTAGCCTGGTGAGATCCCTGTTGAACTTCTGACCTATAGAACTGTGAACCAAAAATTTGTGTTGCTTTAAGTCTCTGAATTTGTGGTAATTCATCATAGCAGCTGTAGAAAACACATACAATAAAGGTTTTATGAAAACGCTGCAGTGAAGTAAACTGAAACTGTGGGGAGTACAGCAGGTGTGTGGACTACTCTACTGTCCTGAGTAGACACCACAGTCTAGAAAAAGCCAAGTGGAAGAGTAAGTATTATTAACAAATTAACTGAACAACTAGAACTTGAAAAGCACATGCTAAGTAGAGGGGATACCGTGGTGAGCAATAATCGTGATGATAATAAGCAGCAGTTTTCCCTAGCAGGCAGCAGTTGAAAGGAATATTGGTTTAACATCTACCAATGAGCAGGGGTGGACAGACCCCTTTCCTGAAGAAAGAGTCCATAATGGGATTAAAAATATCCCTGTAAGCCGGGCACCCAGTGGCTCACACCTGTAATCCCAGCACTTTGGGAGGCCAAGGCAGGTGGATCACAAAGTCAAGAGATGGAGACCATCCTGGCAAAAATAGTGAACCCTCATCCCTACTAAAAGTACAAAAATTAGCCGGCCATGGTGGCATGCACCTGTAGTCCCAATTACTCAGGAGGCTGAAAGTAGGAGAAGTGCTTGAACCCGGGGGGCGGAGGTAGCAGCGAGCGGAGATCGCACCACTGCACTCCAGCCTGGCAACAGAGCAAGACTCTATCTAAAAAAAAAAAAAAAAAAAAAAAAAAAAAAAAAGAAAAAAAAAATGACACACACACAAAATCCCTATAGTTCTTCTAGCGCCCTTCATCCAAATTTCCTATATCACAGAGAATCTTCAGAGTATTTCCTCTGCCTGGAAACCTTGACTGTAGGAAGGCTGGCTCTGGCTGCATGACCACTTATCACATTTGTTGGGTGGGCACACCTCTGTTCCCCATGATTTATCAAGTGTGGCCTCTAGTCTCTTTTCAAATCATGTGTCACGTGGGTACGGTGAGGTTATTCTCTCAACCCAGACACTCTGCAGAGCTAATCCAAGGAGTGCTGGGTGTAGGGCTCTGACAATCAGTTGGGAAGGAGTCAACAGGGGTGTCAACTCCACAACCACCCACAATGATCCTTACCCTGGAGCCGTCCTGGGAAAAGAACCTCAGAGCTACAGGTGGGTTCTTCCTATCAGGGAAGAATCAGGGTGGAAAAGAATGGGCAAATGGCCAGGGACTGAAGCTGACCATCTCCCAACTGCACAAATTACTGCATGAGTTATGTAAGTTACTTAATGTTGCCCTGCCTCAGCTTCCATACTTGGAAAATGAGACTACCCGACAGGGTGTTGTGAGGGTTAAAGGAGTGACATCCACCAAAGCTCATAACACAGCACTCAGAACATTTTAGGTTCTCCATTAATGTTAGTTATTGCTGTTTAGATCCCAGCTTTATTGTTAACTAGTCAATTCTACTTTGTAAAGTTAATTCACTTTTCAGCACTCCAGTTTCCTTATCTGTATAAGGGGACAATAAGGTGGTACCAAACTCAAACAACTGGCATATGAATAATTGAATGAGTATCAGTAAAGTGCTTCAGTGCGTGCCTGTAGCTTTATGGTTGTGATTGGTTGCTGTGGAGGGGGAGGCCCTCAGCTCTGAGCTGGGCAGGGAGAAGCAGAGACAAGTTACTTCAGCCTGAGGCTCCCCAGATTCGTTAGCTAAGCCTGGGGTCACTGTTAACTCCAGGGAATGATCAGGCACTAGGTCAGAATTGAGGAACTCTCTACTTCTGGCACTGGGTAAATTGTTAGATCAGTGGGCTCCAAGGTCAAAATTCTGAAAACAGGATATAGAGGCTCAGAGAAGTAATCGTACAGGAAAGTATGAATATGCGATCCATCCACAGCATTGTAGAAAGAGATATCTCCAGTCTCATAGTTCAGGAAGATCCCCACTTTCCTAGGGGGCTTATGAAGTTTCAGGTTGTTTCTGGGTTCAGTTAGAGTCTGACACTTATTCCCATCAATCAGCCCCATAGTCCAGAATCCGTTCTCAGGTGTCATTTTGACCCAACCTTTTCTCTGCACATTCTTACTACACACCCCTATATGCCACTCTTTCCTGTCCCCTACCTCCACCTCCCAGTAATGTCTCCCTGACATGAAGCTCTCACAGCCGAGAACACAATAATGCCAATCAAATCTCTCAGGGTTGTCCAGTAGATCCTGGGGCTCCTTGGCACACTGCACGCTCCTCTGGTCCTCAGAAACAAGGAGGATGGGGTTTAGTGTTTTTGCATCCAGAATCACATCCACTGCAGAGATTTTGAGGAAGTGTCCATGGGGTCAAGCATTTTTCCTGGATTTCAGAGCCTCAGCATGCAAGGCCTGGGCCATGCTGAGGAGGCCTAAGTCCAGAGCCTGGAGTCCCTAGCCTGCCCTGAATGTGACTCTGTCATCGGTGTCAGAAGAGAAAACACCAGGGATCTTGTGTCCAGAGGGGAAGAGGAGGGTGAAGTGAGGGTTGCATTAGGATCTGGCTAACCCAACACCCTGATGCGGCCTCAGGAAGCAGCAAGGATCCTCTTTCTACGTTTTTCTTGTTTCCCTCCCCACATTGACTCTGCCCACTAATGCTTTATGATCAGAGGTTAATTTGCAACCTTCATTCGACCACTCATGAGCTAAATGAGTTCCCCTTTACTGCAGTCTATTTTTCCATACATCTAATTTATTTAACAAAGTGGGGCCTCATCTGAAGCATTTCTTCATCTGAAAAATGGGGATAAACATACAAATCTCTAGCACTGTATAAAGCAATCATGTTATTTACTCAGCCCACAGCAGGGCATGAAGGAAGCTCCTGATGTTCCCGATAGCTGCAAGGCCGTCTCTGCTGGGTGGGCTATATGTGGGACCTTATATGCAATAGATTCACTCTCTGCCCTTCAGCTTTCTCCATCCTTTTCTGGGCCCCAGAAATCTGTCCTCTAAGGACAGTGCCACTGGGCTTCCTTGTCCTCTGGTTTGCTGTTGAGTTTGGCCAGTGGGAGGCCCTGATAGGAGATTGGAAGGAGAAAGAAAGGAGAGACACACCATTTAGTTTCCTGCTTCCTCCCTGCCAGCAGCAGCTGGTGTGGCTCTAACAAGGCCTGGTGACTCTCTCAGTAAGCCCTCTCTTTGAGCTACTTCTTACTCTGGGTTCCAGTAACTGCTTCCCCTCCCTATCCCTCCCAGGCTAGGGGTGGAGACAGCTCCCCAATGTTGGGAACCATGGGGCACTGCACTTTTCCTTGTTGCTTTCCCTTAACCCTCCTTTCCACAAACCCTCTTCAATCACACAGTTTGAACTCGTCATCTCTTTCTTACTAGGTTTTTGACCAATGCATATTTATTATTCCTTCAGTCTTCACCTCAACTCCCACAAAACATAGATTGCAGTCATCATCGAAAAATGTGGAGGCCAAAGTTCAGAAGCATTTGTGTGGGGACACAGACAGTAGATAGCATGGGAAGCCTGGGAAGGGCAAAGTTCTCTGGGCAGGCCTCCCCTCCTCTGTTTGGCATTTCCATCCTCACTCTCCCTGCAGTATCACTCAGTGTGTGTCTCCTTCCCCTCAGCTCCACCCTTTATGTGTCTTCCTTCCCAGGAAGGTCTGAGGAAGTGCAAGAGAGTGATACGCCCTGGTTCCCTGAGCTCTCAGCCAGAAGGGTCTAGGAGATGGGCCCCACCTTTCAGATTGGGATTCAATGTTGCTTGCCCCAAACTGTCTTGGTTATGGGGACATTTCTTCCCCAAATCACAGGAGTTGAGGAAGAAAAAAGGAAAAAGGAATATAGTCCCTCAGGTTGTTGGTCCAGGGAACATACAGTGATTTACTCACCTGGCTTGAAGAGAGCCTTTTTCTATTCTGAAAGGAAGAAGACACAGATAAGGAAAAGGTCAGTATTCTTGTACTTTTCCCCACTGCATTCTCCCCTCACTACCTGTTTTCTCTCCTTTTCTTCAGAGTCTCTTCCTGGGTCCAACTTCCCTCCTCTACAACTCTGATGGATCAGGGGTGGCATCTTCTCAAAAATGGTGGGCTCTGTTCCCTCTGTCATGAAGGGTACAGCCTGCACGGCCAGGCTTTGCAAGGGGGTGTGTAGGGTCAGGAGTCTCTCAGATTCTCTAAAAAGCAGAAATCAATCCCCCACCACACAGAAATTGAGTATTTTGGTTAAATCTGATTCATGCAACTGAGAATATCAATGGGTCACAGCAGAGAAAGATTGAAGTGTTCATGGCACGTATCCCAGCAAACTCAGAGAGCATCAGGTTCACTCACCATTATAGGCCCAAGGTCTCTCTCCCCTACAATAAGAGAAAGTAGAGATGTCACCTTAACTTGCCATGTTTGAGTTTGCCCCATTCCCTTACTTTTACATCCATCTAATCTTTTTTTTTTTTTGACCACCTGTATTTTCTTCCTCTGCAGGTTCAATTCTCTCTACTGTGTCCTTCTTAATATCAAATCCAGGAACATCAGTCGAATGTTAGTGACATGGCAATCACTTTGAGAGTTCCTTCCTGATGGTGTTCAGCTGATTCGTTAGGAATGTATCTAAACTCTTGTACCTGGGCATAGGTCCCACCATGTCTATATGCATATATACGTGTGTGTGTGTGTGTGCGCGTGTGTGCGCGCGCGCAAGATTCTTCTACTTCAATCTGTAATTTCCTACCTACCCTGAAAAGAATTTGGGAAATTCAATGAGCAATTCAGGGACTAGTTTTTGAAGCCAGTTAGAATAAATTGGTACCAACTGAACAACTGTTCAAGCCACTCTTGTTTATTAGACACACTCTCTTTTCTTATTTTTTTGTTCTTTATTATCTTTTATTCTTTTTCTTCTCTGGAGCCTATAGATTATGTAAAATGAAGAGTGAAGTTCCTACCATAGAGAATGAACTTCATCCACCTCTTCCCCCTTCCTTTACAAGTGTGCCCCTGGATATTCTTCAGTGCTTTGCAGGGCTATGGAGTTTTGTGGCCCCTAGTAGAGAGAAATTGAAGGCATTTTTTCTTTGAGACTCGGCAAGAGAGAGAGAAAGAAAGGGAGAAAGAAACACTCCTCCTGGGTGTTACTCCAGTGAGTCACACTCTTTGTCTTTTTTCTTTTCTTTTCTTTTTTTTGGCAATGACTAGGAATTGGCACATTTATTTTCTTTCCTTAGTCAAAGGGATCTAAGACCACTTCCTAACCTTGGGGAAAAAGTTAAGTGTGGAAACTATTCAAGCACAGACAGTTATAGATTCAGATTCAGAGAAAATGTCAGAGTGACTTAACGAGACGCATACTGGATAATTCTCCACCCTGCAATGGAATGAACAGGGAAGATGCATCAAGGCTCTTAAAGCAGGGACAGAAAGACATGCCTGGGTCTCTGGGGGAACGGGAACTTACTGATTTCCTCCAGGAGCTTCACTGGAAAATAAGCAGATAAAATAATGAACTGTTACAGGTGAGGGAGTTCTCTAAAAAATAAACCTTAAAAACAACCCAGCTGTGGTGTGGGGATAGGCGTGAGGCCTTTGGGCTTTGGCCTATAAGCTGGGTTCAGATAAACTCCCAGGATCAGCTACCTCTTGTGATTCGTTCTTGCTTTATTGCGCTCCATGCCATTTCTCTCAACTCTTGCGCTCTTTTTCTTTCTGAACAGAGTCTTTTTTCCTCCTGCTGTTGCCACAGGAAGTAACTGGCTGCCCGGAGAAGCAGCAGCAAGATAGGCAGGGTCCCTGCCAGGGCAGCGATCCAGCTCTGGGGGCTCCTGAAGAACGGGCCTGTGAAGGGAAGGGCTATGGGCCATGGGGGCCAGTGCACTCAGCCTCCCCAGACTGCAGCACCCCAAGTGTTGGCTGCTCACCCCAGGTCACAGGCCACAGAATCTATCTCACGGGGTTAAATAATCTTTCTCATTCTAAAATCTCAGAGGACTGTGGGTAAGACTTTGATAAACCCCCACTAGAGGCTGCTACTATTTCTTGTCTTGAGATGTCTGCCTCTCATGTGGAAAGTGAGTGACTTGAGCAGATCAGACACAGTTTTTTCTATTTCAACTTTTTGATAGGTAACACATGTACATGGTTCAAAAATATATATATAAAAAGTCATGCAAGTCTCCCATCCACCCAGTCCTCCCTCCCACCCTCCCTTTCTTAGCTTCAAATTAGTATGCTTAATATGATGCTTAGGGTGTCAATGCTGGCTCCTTTAGGTGACTAGCAGTGTGACTCTGGACTAATTATTTAACCACTCTGTTCCTACTGCCCTTCTCTTTGAAATTGGGGTAATGTTAATACCTACCTCCTGAAGTTACAAGGATTAAATTAATAAAGTGCCTGACACCTAGTGAGTGTTATGACATTGCTTGTTAACATAAAAAGTGTAAATAAAAATATATTCTTGTTTTTCCTCTTATTTGCACTGAAGATAGCATTCTATACACACCACTCTGCATTTTGCTCTTTCTGTGCAAAGGTAATCTTGGAGATCCTTCCGTATCAGTATAGAGATAATTTTCTCTTTTTTCTTTCACACTTGAGTGGTATCCATTGCATGAAAGTTCCCCAGCAGTGGACATCTGCATAGTTTCTAATCAGTGCTATAAAAAATAACTTTTTACCTGGATCATCTCACACAAATGCAAGCTTATCTACCAAATAAATCCCCAGAAGTGGAATTTTGGATCACTAAAGATGTAATTTGGGTAGATAGTGCTATATAGCCCCCAATAAAAGCTATGCTAATGCACACCAAAAATAGTTACTAGTTAGTTGGACAAGTTCTTTAGCAGGAAAGAAGATACTGAAATGCTAGAAACTGAGCCAGTAGAGGATGGGAAGCTTGGGGAGAGAGGAAATGAGGAAAGATTTCTGAACAACAGTGGGGAGTTCCCCTGTAACAAGCAGCTGGAGTCCATAGGCATCCCGTGGTTTCACAGTCCAGTTGGGTCACCACTTAAGTCAATACAGCCCACATTAACACCTTCTGCTATGAAATCTTCCCCTCAAATTCCTCATAAAACATGCAGCAGTATTCTGAAACATCTGAACTAAAACACTCAGCAGACATTTATCTTTGTATTCTTCATGAAATGTGTTTTGTCTTTTTTTTTTTTTTTTTTTTACTAGTGTTTAAGTCATTTTTTACTTGAATCAGATGGTGTCATTTAATAAGGATTTTATGAGTTCTTGGTTTTTAAATTCCAGACTTTCCTTTTCTACATGTGAGATAGTTTTCATTTTAACTGGCATGTTATATGCACACAGAAACAAAGACTAGAGCAAAATAATGTAACGCAAGGGGAGAAAAGAAATGCACAAAGTAAAGAACATTCTCTCATAGAACAATGATCTGTTTTACAGGAAACAAATCTTGCCTTGAAATTTACACAGTGAGACTGTACATAACTGCATGAAAATAGCTATTTTTTTAAGACATTTTTCATTCATGAGTATTTTCAAATTTTTCACACTGTACACATTTCTTAAAACATGATACCAGCAGCAACTGAAAATGAACGCCAATTTTAGTACATATGCGTTATCTACCTCAAGGTAACAAAAGTATGTGGCAAAACATATACCACCCACAGTGCTTCAAAATATGCATTTCTATTTAACCAGCGTTTGTTGTAGGAAATATTCCTAATAAGACTCATTCACTGTTTATAAATGTTCTGGTATGCATTCTTTATAGTGAAGTGTTAATACATCACATCTTATTTATTTTAGCAAATCAGTATATTTTCTGCATTTAATTATAAAACTTAACATAGTTTTAAAAATTTATTTGCAAATGCACTTTTTCCATTTGGCACTATGGTGTGTTGCCTACTTAGCTGAATCTATAACGTCAGCTTATCCTAAGGCTGTCCATATACTTAATTCATGTAAGTGTTCATTTTAAGTAATGTGCTCACGGTGTACAGGAATTCGTATTTTGGAGGTGCTTGATCTATCTACAAAGAAAAATTAGATAGGAATTACTTTATTATGAAATGCTCCCAGAAGTCTTGTGTGTGTGTGTGTGTGTGTTTTTTTTTTTTTAAACGAATGTTAGACTTGTGTGCATGGAAGTAATTTAGGTACATCATTAATATAGTTTAAAAGTTGTACATGATAAGGCACTTTGTTTTTACTGTATGTTTTTACTGAATGATCTATTCCCTATCCCAAGGCCAGCATGAATAAAATTAGGTTAAATGTAAATAATAATAATAATAATAATAATTGTATAGGCCTGGCGTGGTGGTCATGCCTGTAATCCCAGCACTTTGGGAGACTGAGGCAGGCGGATCACCTGAGGTCAGGAGTTCAAGACCAGCCTGGCCAACTTGGCAAAACCCGTCTCTACTAAAAATACAAAAATTAGCTGGGCATGGTGGCATGCACCTGTAATCCCAGCTACCCAGGAGGCTGAGACAGGAGAATCACTGGAACCTGGGAAACAGAGGCTGCAGTGAGCTGAGAATGCACCACTGCACTCCAGCCTGGGTGACAGAGCAAGACTCCATCTCAAAAAAACAAAAAACAAAAAACAAAAAATCCTGTATATTCATACAACAAAATAGATTGTATCCATTGGATAATATTCATTAGGTTTTGGGGAAATGATGAATAAAAGGAAAAACACATACTGTTCCTAAAAGACACAAAACAAGGTGTAATGTATGGATCTAATGTTGTTAAAATTATAAATAATTGCCCTTCATGAAAAACACGATTCCTAAAGGCTGCATGGAAATCTCTTTTATGACTGAAACATGCATTGTTTGTCTATCCCTCGCCTGTTGTATATGTATGCTGGTTCAGACATTTCTATATTTTTAATATTTCTGAAATGAACAGATTTACATATGAATCTATAAGGGACATCTCTTTTTAGAAATTCTTAGAATAGATGCCTTGAGTTGGCCAGAAGAGATTTTAAAGATTTTTTGCCCTTTTCTGACCACAATACATTCTTAAGAACATGCAATTAGAATATTTATTGACCAAATCCCAAACTCTGCAGGTCTTTATTCTTTGTACTACTTCTCCACTTTCTGTGTGTCCACAAGTGTGTGTGCACACCCCCTCAGGCACACCCCTCAGACACCTGACACCTTTCTCTGCACAAGTACTCTCCCTGCATGCCCACTCACCACTCTCAGCGATTCAGCCCCTGTCCTCCCCGACATTGTAGCCCAGGCTCTCATCAACTTCTCCCACTTACCTCTTAGCATTCCCATCTGAAAATCACAGCCCACGGAAGAAAGGTGGTTAATAGTTCTCCATTCTTTCTATTATGGTTGAATCTCCATTTGGAAGAAAGGAAAAAGAAAGCAGAGGCTGTCTGGTCATCGTGAGGAATAATAACAATCTCTCTTTGGAAGAATTAGTTTTTTGATTGGCTCGGAGGTAGTGTTTCTCATCAGTTGCTGGTCAGAAACCCCTGAGGAAGGCTAAAAGTACATTGAATTGTACACGTTGAAGAAAAATTCCTGCCTTACCTCCCTTAGTGTTTGTGTTTATTTCTTTCATCCTTGTGTGTATATGAGTATTTCTATATATTTACTTCTCTTAAATCTTTTATCATAATGGAAATATCAGCAGAACAAAATGAGAAAAGATTTTAATGTGGTGAAGAGAGAAAGATGTCCACTAATTAAAATGCTATTGTGGCAGTTTGCTACATTTGCTTGCATGAATATGGGTACATGCAGGAGGAGGAGATATTACTGCAGAGTCACATAAACATATGAATGGAAAGAAAACCAGACACAATACACTATTTTTTTTTTTTTTTTTTGAAACGGAGTAGCACTCTGTCACCCAGGTTGGAGAGCAGTGACAGGAACTCGGCTTTATGAGCAGATTTATGAGCAGACATTTATTAAGGAAATTGGCTCATGTGAATATAGAGGCTAAGAAATCACACAACAGCCCGTCTGTGGGCTGGAGACCCTGGGATGCTGGTAGCACGGCTCATTTGAAGTCCGAAAGCCTCACAACCAGGGAAGCTGGTTGTGTAACTCTCAGTCCAAAGCCAAAGGCCTCAGAACCCAGGGCCTCCTGGTACAAGTCCTGAAGTTCAAAGGCTGGAGAGCCAGGAGTTCTGATGTCCAAGGGCAGAAGATGAAGAGTGTCTCAGCTCCAGAGGAGAGAAGAATTTGCCTTTCCTCTGCCTTTTGGTTCTATTGGGCCCCCAGCCAATTGGACGGGAGAATTTCCCACTGACTCACATGCCAGTCTCTTCTGGAAACACACTCACAGACACATCCAGAAATAATGTTGTACCAGTTGTCTAGGTATTCCATAATCCAGTTAAGTTGACATCTAAAATTAACCAGCACATGGATTAACTTCCAGGATCCACTATTCTAGTTTCCAAATGTGGTCTTGGGATTCGTAGGGAGAACTTTGACGTACTCTTAAGGAGTCCCCAATGTTAGTACTATTTTCACAATAATAATAATGAAACATTAACCATTTTTCATCTCATTCTCTCAGTAGGGTGCAGTAAAGTTTTTTTTTTTTTGAGAAAATATGACCTATGATAAACCAATAGCTTTAATACAAAGGCAGATATGAGAATACAAACATCTTCTATTAAGCCAGACATTAGATTTGGAAAAAGTTAACCAGGAATAAAAGAACTCCTAGTTCTTTTATTGGGACACAATAGATTGCTTTTTCACAAAACATCCTGTTTATATTAAACTATAATTGATTTATTCATGCTATTTTAACATGAATTAAAAGATAACATTTCAAATTTTGTTTCAATGTCAAATGCCATAACTATTAACAAATATTAACCCAAATAAACAAAAGTTCTTTAAGGTCCTCAATAGTTATTAAGTGTCTAAAGACATAATTCGATCAGGAAGTTTGAAGCCACTGGTGTCCCCATTGAACCTGAATGCTGAGGTAGACCAGTTGCAGTACTGCCCTGCTCGACCAGGACCTCAAACCTCAACCACACTCAGGGACTAAGTACTGACTCATTGTTTATTGCAGGGACACGTAAGCCAAACCACATCCACACGAGTCCATGTTCTTCATTCATCTTCATCCCAGGTCCAGGCCTGTGGGTGTGTGTTGTGGAAATCCTGGGGTTGGGTGGAAATGAGCCATCATCTCCCAGGTCCCCTTAGCTGTTATGTTGGGGCTTATCCACCCTTACAACCTTGGTCCCTCCCAGCTGTCTGGTTCCACTTCCTCTATCTCTGACCTGCATATCTGGTTCCCTCTCCTCTCTGGTGGTCCTGTGGATTCCTCTCTCCTCTCTCATTCTGAGGAACCCTGTTGACCTCATTCCATGTCCATAACATCTGGTGCCAACTGGCATACTGGACTCAGTGTGATCACCCTGATGTTAAACAGCAGGTTTGCTGCCCATCAACTTCTCACACTTTCTTCTTGGCTGGGAGCTATGACACAACTAGTTTCCTATGCGTGGATCCCATCCCATAGTTACAACCAAAGGAACTACTAAAGCCACAGCCTAGTGAGGAGGAGAAAACTGGGGCTAAGGGCTGGAGTGGGTGTGAAAGAGGCAGGTGGAAGCTGTTCTCTTACGTGACCAGAGGGGAGAAGGGTGTGTCTTCCACCAACAACATTGTGCAGTGGCTGCTGAGATGACGAGGGCTTGTCTACATGGCTGTGAGACCGGCGAATTGATTCTACAGGCTCTGATTGGTCCCCACTCTGTGAAGTATCAGGCCCTCTTCAGGCACTGTGATCCCACTGGCTCCTGTGAGTGCCGGACAGATGAAGATGGGGCTGTCATCAGACCCTATCCTGAAGAAGGGCCTCACAGGCACAGAAAAGGCTGAACGGGGACATGTGTAGATGTGCGATCTGTCCCTCATGTTGTAGAAGGAGATATCTCCAGCTTCATAGTCCAGGAAGACGCCCACACGGCAAAGGGACTCCTTCAAAGGGAGAATCCTCTTAGGTGAGGACAGGGCCCGGTATTGCCCTTTACACATCTCCAAGGTCCAGAAGCCATTCCGAGGACGCAGCAGGACCTCCTCTTTCCTCTCAACACTGTCTCTGCAGACCCCCACAGTCCACTCAATCACGTTTTCCACCTCCACCTCCCAGTAATGTTTCCCTGAAGCGAAGCTCTCCCGGCCCAGGACACAAGGCTCACTGTCGAATCTCTCTGGGTTGTCAGGCACGCTCTCCCCTAGGTGCCTGAGGGGGCACCTTCTCACACTTCTCCGGTCCTCTGACAGCAAGAGATCAGGATGAGCGGTGTTTGGATCCAGGACCACATCGACTGCAAAGGAAGTCTCAGGTTTAGGCCTGGGGTCTCAGGAACCTGGGGGATTGTGTGGTTCCTGATTCCCAGAGAGGTCTCAGATATCTGTGGGGGGATCCCCAGGTAGTGGCCACTTCCATGAAGGCTCTCTGATCCTAGGCAGCTCACACACTGAAATTACTGAAGCTGCCCTTCTATCTCTCCAGCAGTTCCCTCAGTTTGAGAAGAATTGGAACTCTAAGAAATTCGGAAAGTTTAGCATATGAGGCAAAATTAATCATTCTTTCTCTCAGCGTTCTAAATCTGTGTTCCCTTTTCTATTCAAGACATAGGATCTCTGGCTGGGCACGGTGACTCACGCCTGTAATCCCAGAACTTTGGGAGGCCGAGGCGGGTGGATCACCTGAGGTCAGGAGTTCGAGACCAGCCTGGACAGCATGGTGAAACCCCATCTCTACCAAAAATACAAAAGTTAGCCAGGCATGGTGGTGCACGCCTGTAATCCCAGCTACTCAGGAGGCTGAGGCACAAGAATTGCTTGAACCCGGGAGGCAGAGGTTGCAGTGAGTCCAGATTGTGCCTCGGCACTCCAGCCTGGGTGACAGAGCAAGATATCATCTCAAAACAAACAAACAAACAAAAAAACAAAAACAAAACTCAAAACAAAGACCTATGATCTCTGGATTTTCTTTAGTTAGAAACTTTCCAACTTGGCTCAAACCAGCACAGAGTCTTTATGTCCTGCTCCTCCTCTCCCCAGTGGATCAGGTAAGGTGAGTGTTTCCCTTTACACTATCCCGGAGGGTAAAGGGTCTCTTCATTGGTCCTGTGTGTTCCTTTTACCAGATCACAACTGACTTAAATGACTGACAAGTGCACCCTTCAAAAAATAAAGAAGGAGAATAAATGTCCCCAAAAGAAAACCTGCTTCCTGAGGGATCTGTAGGCAAATGTGGGGAGGAACAATTCCCATCCAGTTTTGCTTCAACAGTGTGGGTCTGATGTCTTCAGGTATCACTTCTGTAGGTATAAGAAATGCTCTGGACACTGGGCATTCTGCAGGCCTCTCCCATCTGTATTTATTCTTACTTATTCTGTCTACCTTTCTATTATGTTAAAATTATTTCCTCCATTCCACAAGTAAATATGTCTGACTGTGACGATTTGCTATTTTGTCCCAAGTGGAAAGTGGCAATTTTGAAATTCACCTAAAGAGGAAAGGTCCATGCGTCATGGTATCTGGTAAAGCTTGGATTCTGTGGTGCTTATGGGCAGAGGGGCAGAATCATAAGATGAAAAGTGCTCACTGGGAGTGTGCAATTGGGTTCTGTGCTCTCCCACTCACCGGAACACCCTCCCCTGGCAGGCTATACACAAAGTATCAGTGCTGTCTTAGGAGCAGAAAGGCATTTCTTGTCACCTATTGGTACACCCTTTTGTCAGGCTTACTAGGGACCCTCCTGGCCTCTTCCCCGCATGGGTCTTCAGCTTGGCACAGTCTACACCATCCCCAGGATATAAGCTGCTTAAGACAGCATTATCTTTTTTCAAATTTATCCAGGATCAAAGAGCAACAACTACTGAAACGTAACTCTTTGGAAGGCTACTATATATGGGACACTTCTGCTAATCATGTATTAAATTATTCCAAAAGAGAAAGGATCCTGGGATGTAAACCATAGGGTGGATTGAGAGATATCAGGATTCCCTCACAGAAGAGCCATGATGCATCATTGCTGGGACACTGTTGATGAACTGACCCCAGCTCCCTGCTGTCCCTGCCTAGCCCTGGTCCCCTTGCCCATCTCCTCTAAGGAGTCCTGTTAGCTGGCTAGCGGGAGAAAGCTGAGATCTAAGGGAACATCAGAGACACTCACCGGCATGTAAGACTGTTCTTCTCCATCCTGCAAGGGACAGACAGAGGCGAATGTCATGAGATGTTGCTAACTGAGCAGAACTCAAATTGTATATGGAGTAGTTCAGGAAAGGCTAAACTTACGCAATTCTTCTTGAAGTTGCTCTGAAAAACAAACAGAAAGAAAATCATGTCTTCCACAGAAGAACTAAAAGAAGTTGGGTTTAGGCCGGGCGCGGTGGCTCAAGCCTGTAATCCCAGCACTTTGGGAGGCCGAGATGGGCGGATCACGAGGTCAGGAGATCGAGACCATCCTGGCTAACACGGTGAAACCCCGTCTCTACTAAAAAAATACAAAAAAACTAGCTGGGCAAGGTGGCGGCGCCTGTAGTCCCAGCTACTCAGGAGGCTGAGGCAGGAGAATGGCGTAAACCCGGGAAGCGGAGCTTGCAGTGAGCCGAGATTGAGCCACTGCACTCCAGCCTGGGCGACAGAGCGAGACTCCGTCTCAAAAAAAAAAAAAAAAAAAAAAAAGAAGTTGGGTTTATAGTAAAAATGCAGGGACCGTCCTTTCTATGAACAGCAACATCTCCCTTGCCTCATGCCTAGGGCACTGTCAGAAACCAGAAATGATATGTCATCAGGTGGTGGGTAGTGCCGGTACATTGTTATACTTGCTTTTGCTCAACTATGTAGTACTTCATGTAGCCAGATGAATGGATGCAAGGTGGGCAGAGTGAAAGAACAAAAGCTCTGAGAGATTCATTCCAAGGACATCAGAGTTCCAAGTCCTTGCTGCTGCTGTGCATTTCCTGTCTCTTCCATATGCTGGTACCTGGGAGAGTGGTGTCTTTTCTATGGTGCTGAACTGTCCTCCTACTCTTCTACTTTTTTTTTTTTTGAATTAAACAGGGTCTCACTTTATTGCCCAGGCTGGTCTCGAAATCCAGGGCTCAGGTGATCTGCCTGCCTCAGCCTCCTACAGTGCTGGGATTCAAGCCATGAGCCACCATACTCAGCCTCTTTTACCTTTTACTTGAAGTTCTTTCTCTTTTTGCACACGTTCCTTCTTCAGTTCCTTTACAGCAATTTCTCTTTTTTTCCGTTCAAACTCCTTTTCCCCTGACAGAATCTTTGTTTCCTTTTGGAGTCTGTTGATCCAGTAGATGCATACGGCAATGATTATCATCAGAAAAACCACAATGATAGGCAGGGCCACCACACAGGGAGACACGCTGGGCATAAAGGATTCTGAAAAGGCAGCCAGAAATGTCCACTTAGTTTGAAACAGAACATCTGGGGTAAGAGTGCCCTTAGGAGCACAGCTGAAGGGCTCCTCAGCCACCTGCTCTGTTACTTTCTCCCTCAGAAAACTCAGATGGAGAAAGTGATGCTGGCTCAGATCTGGCTGACACCTCAGTGGCTTCCAGGGCCAAGGCCCAGAGGTAGCAAACCAGTCACCATGGGAAGGGCCAGGGTGAATAAAGCTAACCCGTCATGCTGAGTCAGCACCGCCACCACCCTGCCTCAAGCTACGATCACTCACGCCTGGAACACTGCAGTGCCCTCCTTCTTATTCTGCCCTCATCTTCTACAGTCTATTCTCAACAGACCAGTCCAAGTGTAATCATGTTAATTCTTAGCTCAAAACCTTCCAATGCTTTCCATGTCACTCTCCCTAAAAACCAAAGACTGTTTGTGGCTTATGATGCCATGTAGAATGTGTTTTCATTGTCTCTGTGAATTCATCTCCTCTCACTTCCTGCACTCACTCCATTTCAGCCACACCAGCATCGCCTTCTGGGGGTCCTGGAAACTGCCAGGGATGTTCCTTCCCCAGGTCCTTTGCATATGTTTTTCCTGTAGCTGGTTGCTCAGTCCTTAAGCATCTGATGATTCCTTACCATCAGACGGGATGGCTCAATTCCCATTTCTACAGCGAAGTCTTCCCTGACCATTCTGTTAAGAATTGCAATGTCTCACACTGCCTCTTTATTCCTTCTTTGCTTAATGTTTCCTATAGATGTTCATCACCATCTGATAGAATATATGGTTAACTAATTATTTAATCACTTTTTGAGGGAAGAGTTCTTGATATAATTTGTTCAATTATTTACCTTTGGTTTCTAGAACAGTGTCTTGACATATGATATGCTTCCTGACCATTTGTTGAATGAATTACGAGTATGTGTAAATAGGGAATTTCCGCGGCTCTATCCCGTGGAAAATCCCCTGTGCAGGAAGGGATGGCTGCAGCATACAGGAACACCAAGTGTAGAGAGTCACTTATCCACACCACCCTCCATGTGTTATGGTTGTTTTCAAAGTCTAAAAATTGCTGGCCGGGTATGGTGGCTCACGCCTGTAATCCCAGCACTTTGGAAGGCTGAGAAAGGTGGATCGTTTGAGGTCAGAGGTTCGAGAGCAGCCTGGTCAACAAGGCGAAATCCCTATCTCTACTAAAAATACAAAAATTAGCTGGGTGTGGTGGTGTGTGCCTGTAGCCCTAGCCTTCGGGAGGCTGAGGTATGAGAATTGCTTGAACCTGGGAGGCGGAGGTTGCAGTGAGCCAAGATTGTGCCACTGCAGGCTAGCCTATGTGACAGAGAGAACTGGTCTTAAAAAAAAAATGTTGCCGCAGCCTGAGGACCTTATCAGGGGGAAAAACAACAACAACAACAACAACAACAACAAACCAGGTTCACCCTCAGAGAAGAGGCTCCTACTCCTGAGTTTTGGGACTCTTGATTCTCCTTTTGTGAGAAGTGGAGAGGCCTCAGCTCAGCTACAGCCTCCAGGTCGTCAGGGCCCAGGACCATTCCACCCACACTGCTGCCCCCATCCCCGCTCTGGGCTCCATCTGTGTGCTGAGGATCCCCATGCACCCAACGAGTCTCAGAGGGCAGAGAACTAACCTGGAATAAAAATGACACTTTCTTTCTTCTGGTCGAGCAGGGTGTCACTGATAGAGCAGGACATGTTCCTCACCGACTTATCTCTGATGATCACAGCTGTGGTGACCATGAAGAGGCCGTCTGTGTCAGGGGTGACGACCTCCTTCAGGGCAGGCACGATCCTACCGTAGGGGTCCCTCCACACTGTGAGGGGCTTTGGGTACCACCCTCTAGATATGCACTCCAGCCGGATGCCCCCGTCCTCGTGGCCCCTCATTTCAACGAGGGGCTTAGAGCCCAGTCCTGTGAAGAGATACCAGAGTTCAGACAAGAATCAGTGCCTTTTGCATCTCTTCTGTGCCTACTGCATCTCTTCTGTGAAACTAGAAAGTAAAGATGAAAAAGAGGGAGGTAGGAAGCAAGAAATAGGAAGGAGGAAAAAAAGGAGGAGGGTAAGGAAGAAAGAACGTTGATGTTAGAGAACACCAGGAGACCAATGGGCCACATAAACTGTGAGTTCTCTAAGAGGAAAGGATCCCATTGTACCCTTTTCATTGTGGTCCACGTACAGACCCCATCACAGCACCAAACATCTATCTATCTGCTATAAATGCTTGTTCAATTTATCCTGCCAGATTAATTTTCTCACTTCAAGGTGGGTGTGTCGACTCCAACTTCAAACAGGCAGGTTTTGGATTTCACTTTCTGCTTCTGGGACGACTTCTCAGTAGACCTCAGTTTCCAGAAGCTCTAGAGTAATAATGACAAGGACGAAAGTCTGCCAGGTGGGCAGAATCCTAAGAAACCTTTTGATCCAAAGACGCTGACCCTTCTGTCTAGTTCAGAACTTCACATACCCACCGTTCTCTACCACCCATAGGAGTTGATGGTTTTTGGGAAACTTGACAGATCTAGCCTGCAAAGCCAACTCTAATTTACCTCCCAGAGGCTCCATCCATTAGGCAGTATTGCTTTTCTTTTTTAGAGACAGGGTTTGAGCTCTGTTGTCCAGGTTGGAGCACAGCGGCAAAATCATAGCTCGCTGTGCCTTGTACTCCTGGGCTCAAGAGATCCTCCCGCTTCAGTCTCCCAACTAGCTAGCATTACAGGCATGTTCCACCATTCTTGGCTAACATGTTGCCCAGGCTGGGTGGTTTTCTTATAGTACTTTGAGAACATCAACTTATTAGAAAGATCCGGATAATCCAGGGACTAAGATAACCATACTACCTTTCCAATATCAGAGATCATCACCAAAAATTCTAAGAAACTAGACTCACCCTAACTACAATCCATCTTTAAATGAATCTTCCACTAGAGTGAACACTGGGTATGAAAGAGCTGCAAAAGCATGGTCCTGGGAGACCTTTCAGCAATGTGGGACCACCTAAACTTCTCTGAGTTATTCCTTTATAAAGTCTCCCAAAGAATTTTACCAAAGACAGGAAATTAAACCAAAAACTTAAGTCTGGTGTGTTGGCTCAATTTAATAATAAAAAAAATTTTTTTGACACGGTCTCACTGTATCACCTGAGCTGGATTGCAGAGGCATGATCATAGCTTACTGCATCCTGGACTTCTGAGGCTCAGGTGATCCTCCAACCTCAGCCTCCCAAGTAGCTGGGACTACAGGCATGTGCCACCATGCCCAGCTTTTTTTTTTTTTTTTTTTTTTTTGCATCTTTTTGTAGAGACTGGATTTCACCATGTTGCCCAGGCTTACTGTAATTTTGTTGTTGTTGTTGTTGTTTTGTTTTTTAGACAAAATCTTGCTCTGTAGCACAGGTTAGAGTGAAATAAATGGTAGGATCTCGGCTGACTGCAACCTAGGCCACCTGAGTTCCAGTGATTCTCTGGCTCAGCCTCCCAAGTAGCTGGGACTACAGGCATGTGCCAGCATGCTTGTATAATTTTTGCAGTTGTAGTTGAGAAGGGGTTTCACCATGTTGGTCAGGCTAATCTCGAGCTCCTGACCTCAGGTGACCCACCCGCCTTGGTCTCCCAAAGTGCTAGGGTTATAGGCATGAATTACCACACCGAGCCCAGGGTCACTTTAATTTTTATCAAGAGAAAAAACTACTTGTACATTTAAAGGCTCAGTAGAATAAGAATTAAAATAACTCAGCAAATTGGAAAACAAAGTTCTTCAAAACATTCCATGAGGTCAAATACAGGCAAGCATGACAAAATAGATTTAAGGGCAAAATCAGCCACCAACAAACCTAACAAAGAGAATACACTAAACAAAAAGTCCTACGCAACCCAATTCAGAGTGGGGAAGGCCAGGCCAGTGTCAGTTTTACAGGCAAAGAATGGCAGATTCCTGCCGCACAGAAACCATAACTGGTCAAACCTAGAGCGCTGCTATGAACACACTGAGGATGCAGTGTCAAGAAACCCTCCTTCCATGATATTGTGTTTTAATCAGATGCAAGGTTGCCTTTGTGTGTAGCAAAGATGGGGTCTCTTACCTGTTATGATTTGAGACCCCCAGGGAAGGACCCAATTCCGTAGTCTGCACATCCTCTGGTCTGATGGAGTGAAATGCCACCACAGATTATCCTGCACCCAAAAGGCTTTTTCAGTCCTCAAACATATCTGTTTGTTGTTGTTGTTTAATTTTTGATACAGAGTCTTGCTCTGTTGCCCAGGCTGGAGTGATGTGGTAAGATCTTGGCTCCCTGCAACCTCTGCCTCCTGGGTTCAAGTAATTCTCATGCCTCAGGCTCCCAAGAAGTTGAGATTACAGGCACACTCCCCAAAGCCTGGCTAATGTTTTTGTATTTTTAGTAGAGATGGGGTTGCACCATGTTGGCCAGGCTGGTCTTGAACTCCTGGCCTCAAGAAATCCACCTGCCTCTGCCTCCCAAAGTGCTCGTATTATAGGTATGAACTACTGTGCCTGGCCCAGATATACCTTTTAAAGCATAATACACTAACCCCAAAACTGAATTAATCACTTAATGTCATTTTAACATACTCCTAGAAATCCCAGTTTAAATGCATTTTTATGTTGAAGGCTTCCCTATTACCTCCCAGTGAACTTTGTAGTCTTTCTCTATGGAGTTAGCAGGAACTATGTATAGTTTTGCTTCTGTATTTTGTCTTGCTTTAATGAAACCATCTATTTACAATAAGTCACTCTCTCTGCAATCAGCATTTTGGGAAAGAAGTCAGGGTTAATATTTATCAGGAAATAAGATTTGATATGTCGCCATTCTCTGGGCAAACGTTTATTCCAGTTGTCTTGGAACAATTATTGACAGTGTCTCCTCTCACTCTCAGAAGTGCAACCTGGGAGGCAGAGGTTGCAGTGAGACGAGATTGTGCCAGCGAGGGTGCAACAGAGCAAGACTCTGTCTCAAAAAGAAAAAAAAAAAAAAAGAAGTGCACAGTTCAGTGCTAAGGCATGCATAAGACTTTTCTCCTGAGAGTGACCATTTTCCCCTGCTCATGGCCTCAGCTGAATTCTGTGTGTGCTTCTCAAGAAGTGAAGCACTTGGTCTAGCAGGGCAAACCCTCTCGTGCGGCCCTTGTGCAGGAGGAAGGATTTTTCCCTGGAATTCCGTTTCCACAGGGAGAGTGTCCCTGTGGAATCTCTCTGTGGAAATGGGATTCCAGAGAAAAATTTGCTGGTCTGCAATGGGCATGAGGTTGGGAGAGAAACCTTCCCCAGAGTCACACTGTGCCAAAGTAACAAAGCAAAATGAAGCAACGCACCTGCCACCATGAGGTGCAGGAAGGCCTCATCGTAGGACCTGCCTTCTTGGAAGTAACAGCGGTAGGTGCCGTTCTCCTGAGCTGTGACATTGTGTATGATTAGGGCCACGCTGCCCCTGCTGATGTCTTTGCTCACAAAGGTGGTTCTTCCTCGGTACTCCTCCATCTGCTCCTCTGTTCTCTCTCTCCCACCCTTATACACAAACACTGCCGGGGAGAACTGAGACCGGAACCACCGCACCTCCATGTCCTCAGCATTTTTCTCGGGTGACAGATGGCAGCGTAACGTAGTGTTTTCTCCCACCATGGCCAGGATGGGATCAGTGGGCCCCACGACAGTAAACTGGGCTGTTCAACAAAGGGGTAGAGTCAGACAAAGACATCAGCCATCACATTTCTAAGGCAGAAAGGGAAGCAGATATTCCAGGGATAAACATATTCTTTCCATGGCCATAGGGTCTCTTTGGGTTGAGAAATCTGGGGACCAGTAGTTGTGGGTGTCAACAGCACCCTTGGGAGCAGTAACTATAAAATGTGCTTCTGCTTCATGAAGGAAACCCTGGGGAGCCCGCCCTGAGCACCCTCTGTCCACCCTGTGTCCTTGAGGGGTTTTTCCTCCATTCCCCAATCCTGCACTGTGCCTGAATGTAGCATAAACTTGGGCCATGCAATAGAGCACCTACCCACTAGCTAGTTCCAGTTGAAATTAGTTGTAAGTGTAAAATACACATAGGATTATTAAGATTTAAAATTTCAAAATATTGACTATCTCATTGGTAATATGGTATATTAACTAAGTATTTAAATATTCATGTTTGATTATTTGGGGCAAAACAAAATATAGTATACAAACTTATTTCATATTTCTTTTCACTTTTTAAAATAAAAAGTAAAACTTAATTTTTTTTAAAAACATGCAATTGTACATGCAATTGTACAATTGGCCTCTGTGCCTCACTGTATTTCTTTTGGACAGTGCTGGTGTAAATTCAGTGAACATGTTCAAAATTAAAGGATAAGTCAACAACTCCATAGTCCTTTCTTTCTTTCCCTTTGCAGACTACATAGTTGATGTTCATTTCTGATAGGTGACAACAGCAAGTGGGACACATCACTACCTGAGACCAGTGCACACAGTCGGAGAAGAAGGAGGAGGAGGATGAGGGAGGCTGGCAGAGAGAAGTGCAGGGCAGCAGCTGGTTCCATGAGCACCCAGGGCAGGCAGGGACGGGAAGCCTAGGGTCACAGAGCAGAATCAGCCTAGGAGTCTTGGCACCTCAGTGCTGGTCGGGTCCAACCTCTCCCGTTACTCAAGTAGGTCTCATCAGTGCCCCGACGTCATGGAGTCCCCTGCATCTGAGGGCTGAGGTATCTCCTGAGAGAGGGATTCCTTAAACATTCCATGAAATAAGCCATCAATGCCAAGATCAAGGGGGCGTTTTTCTGCCCTCCTTGGCTGACTTCTCTGGCCAGAATCTGGTTTCTTCAGTTGTCGCTGGATTCTATCACACCCTCCTCCCTTCACTTCCTCCTCCCCGAGACCCAGGCTGGGTCACCCGAGGCTAAGCCAGGCCAGGCCGCACCTACCCACCAGTGGTCTTCCCCTCTCCCAGAACCCCGTCTCGTGTCCACAGGAGATCCTGCTTCCCCCACCTCCTGTGCCGACCCTGGAGCCTCCCCTCCCTTTCCTACCTTCGAGAATTGACGTTGCATTTTCTTTTCTCCTCTGGTTCTCAAATTAAGGGAGGAGACCACCCCTCATATTGTATTATGCCCGATTTCTGCCTCCAAAGAAAGAGCAAGTAAAAATTAAAGGCAGAAATGCAATCCATAAGCAGACAGCTCGGTGCCGCACCCTGGGCCTGGTAGTTAAAGATTAACCCCTGACCTAACCCATTATGTTATCTATAGATTCCAGGGGTTGTATGGAAAAGCATTGTAAAAATTCCTGTCCTGTTCTGTTCCGTTCTGATTACCGGTTCTGTTCCGTTCTGATTACCATTTTTGAAAAAAAAAGAGAGGATGTTTGCAACAAGTGAAAAAAGTTAAGGCATGTCAAAGAATTATCTGTGAAAGTCGTAAAAAAATGGTTATAAAAAGAAATTCATGCAAGAAATGTTGTATAATTTAAAAGTAAGTAGGCATCCTAAATGTAAAACTATTGAATAAACAGTTTATGTACAAGGTATATAAGAAAAGTAAAATATACTTTTGGTAGAATAATTATAAGGAGGCATAAGAATGTAAAGTTGTACCTACATTAAAAGGTTAAAAATATGTATATTTTGTTTTAAAGGTTTAATCAAGTTTTAAAATGTTAATTGGAAACAAAAATTCTGTGTGTAAACATTGACTAAAGTTAAAGAGGTATCATCCAGTTTTTCTGTAAACTGGACATTAAAATAAAAACATAACAGGTTTTTCTTAAAGTACCAACCTGCTCTTTAGCAAAAATTATAAAAGGTTAAAAAGAGTCTATAAAATCTTATCTTATGGTCAAACATTAAAAATTGGATAAATATGTCTACAAGGTTTTATTAAAATTGGGTTTAACATTAATAACACCCTAATATAAAGGTAAAATTTAGCTTATCTGGTATAAAAATCATACAGGAAGCATTGTTAAATGTAAAATAGTATTTGACTTTCTTTGGTTTAAAAACTAATAAAAATAGGTGTTAAAGAAAATTTCTCAGTAAAAAGGTACTGAGGACTATAAAGTCCACTGCCAAAGTCCCCACATTGAAAACAAAAGGTCAATTTCTTAAAAATTATATACTTGGTTTAGTCTTTTAGCACATGTACCACCCCTAGAATTTCCAGCAAACCAGCACCAACCTGAAGATCATGTTCTCATCAAAGGGTGGAAAGAAGAAAAACCCCAGCCAGCCTGGGAAGGACCCTACCTTGTGCTGCTAACTACCAAGACTGCTGTTCGTACAGCAAAAAAGGATGGACTTATCACACCGCAGTCAAGAAAGTGCCACCCCCTCCAGAGTCGTGGGCCATAGTCCCAGGGGAAAACCCTACCAAACTAAAGCTAAGAAAAACTTAACTCTTTTCATCTATTCTGTTACTCTTTCTTCTTTCCTCATTCTATTACTGACCATCTAGTTATTAACATAACCAAGTCAATTTGCCTCAAACTACTGCATTTAATGCTTGCCTTGTTATACCCTGTGGAGACTTGCCAAGTCAAAGATAGCTTTCTATTTCAGAAGAGTACTTCTGTCCTTCCTGACTCTCCTCAGACTGGGCAATAGTAAAGTATTTGAGACTCCATCTCAAAAAAAAAGGATCAAATATTCCATCTGCACGTTAAACATAAGCAATTGTTATGCTTCTGCACATGGCAGGCCAGAGGCCCAGATTGACCCCTTCCACTAAGGTGGTCCTCCAGTTGACCAGGCATAGGTTGTATGGTAGTTCTTTTCCAGGAATCTACAGCCTGGAGTAGTAAGTCATGCCAAGCTCTCACTTCTATATCCTGAAGTCCGGCACCCTGCGGGTCAGCCCCTGAGGGCCATCCAGCTTCCATCTCCCAACACTAAGTTCACTTCGTGTCTCTCACGAGAAGGAGGAAACTTAGCATTCCCTGGAGACCTGAAGGGATGCAATGAGCTTAAGAATTTTCAAGAGCTTATCAATCAGTCAGCCCTTTCTCATCCCCGAGTGGATGTGTGGTGGTATCGTGGTGGACCTTTACTGGGCACTCGGCCGAATAACTGGAGTGGCACTTGTGCTTTAGTCCATTTGGCTATCCCTTTCACCCTGGCATTTCATCAACTAGAGGGAGGAAAAATAAGACATCGTAAAGCAAGAGAAGCCCCTTATGGGTCTTTTGACTCTCACATCTATTTAGATGCAATTGGAACCCCGCAAGGAATATCAGATCATTTTGAAGCTTGAAATCAAATAGCTACAGGATTTAAGTCAATATTTTAGTAGATTACAGTTAATAAAAATGTAGATTGGATAAACTACATCTATTACAATCAACAGCAATGAGTTTTTCATGAGTTAAAAGAAAAACTCAGATCGGCCCCAGCCCTGGGACTACCTGACCTGACAAAACATTTTACACTCTATGTGTCAGAAAGAGAAAAAATGACAGTTGGAGTTTTAACTCAGACTGTGGGGCCCTGGCCAAGGCCAGTGGCTTATCTCTCAAAACAACTAGACAGGGTTTCCAAGGGCTGGCCCCCATATCTAAGGGCCCTGGCAGCAATGGCCCTGTTAGCACAAGAAGCAGATAAGCTAACTCTTAGGCAAAACCTAAACATAAAGTCCCCCCATGCTGTGGTGACTTTAATAAATACCAAAGGACATCATTAGCTAATGAATGCTAGACTAACTAGATACCAAAGCTTGCTCTGTGAAAATCCCCACATAACCATTGAAGTTTGCAACACCCTAAACTCTGCCACCTTGCTCCCGGTATCAGAGAGCCTAGTTAACATAATTATGTAGAGGTATTGGACTCAGTTTATTCTAGTGGGCCCTACCTCCAAGACCATCCTTAAACATCAGTAGACTGGGAGCCATACGTGGATGGGAGCAGCTTCACCAACCCCTGCAAAGCGACTCTGAAAAAGACAACAAGCCCTGCTCCAGTCACACCCAGAAGCTGACTGGTCTACGCAAGGCCGAAGCATGAGGAAACTCATTGCGGGATTCATTTTTCTTAAAATTTGTACTTGTACAGTAAGGACTTCAACTGATCTTCCTCAGACTGAGGACTGTTCCCAGTATATGTATCAAGTCACCGAGGTAGGACAAAAGATTGCTACAGTCCTATTATTTTATGGTTATTATAAGCGTACTGGGACTCTAAAAGAAACTTGTTTGTATAATACTATTCTATCCAAGGTATGTAGCCCAGGAAATAACCAACCTGATGTGTGTTATGACCCATTTTAAGCCTCCCATGATCACAGTTTTTAAAATAGAATTAAAGACTAGTCCTTTTCTAGGTGATAAAAGTAAAGTAATACCTAGGACAGAAGAAAGAGGAGTCCCCAAGCACATAACCCTAAAATTTAATGCTTGTGCCACTATCAATAGCAATCGGCATGGAATAGGAGGCGGTTCCTTAAACTGAGAAACAAAAAGTTATACGGCAGGAAATAAGCATATCTGCCATGAATTAGGCTTATGTGCAAATGTGTGTAATTACTGTCTTGTGTCTTCTAGACTACTTAGAAAAAGGATGAAAAATATCCTGTTTAGCTCCAAAAAGGAGAAGGCAGCCCCTCCTGTACAAGTGGAAGCTGCAACCCCTTGACATTAGTAATTACAAATCCCTTAAACCCAAGGTGGAAGAAAGGAGAACATGTATCTCTGGGCATCGATGGAAAAGGACTAGATCCTAGAGTAAATATCTTAGTAAAATGGGAGGTTCGTAAACTCTCTCCAGAACCAGTATTTTGGACTTTCTATGATGAACTAAATGTGCCAGTACCAGAGACTCCAGGAAAAACCAGAAATTTGTTTTTGCAATTAGCCGAGCATGTAACCCAGTCTCTAGATGTCACTTAATGTTATGTTTGTGGATGAACTTAAATGGGAAATCAATGGCCATAGAAAGTCCAAGAATTAGTGTCTACAGACCCAGTTCCTGATGAATTACCAGCCCAAAAGAATCACCCTGATCATTTCTAGGTTCTAAAAGTCTCAATTATTGGACAATATTGCATAGCTAGAAAAGGGAAAGAATTCATTCATCCTGTAGGACAACTTAGTTGCCTGGGACAAAAACTGTATAATGGTACCACAGAAACAGTTACCTGGTGGAGTTCAAACCACATAGAGAAAAATCCATTCAGTAAATGTCCAAAGTTGCAGACCGTTAAGGCCCACCCAGAATCCTACTGGGACTAGACGGCCCCCACTGGGCTATACTGGATATGTGGACATAGAGCCTACACTAAGCTGCCTGATCAGTGGACAGGTAGTTGTGTTATTGGCACTATTAAACCATCTTTCATCCTACTGCCCATAAAAACAGGTGAACTCTTGGGCTTCTCTGTCTATGCTTCCCATGACAAGCGAAACATAGCCATAGGTAATTGAAAAGATGATGCATGGCCTCCTGAAAAAATTATACAATACTCTGGACGAGATGGCTCATGGGGATACCAGCCCCCCATTTACATGCTCAACCGAATCATGTAAATGGGGGTCTGTTGCAAGCTGTCTTGGAGATCATCACTAATAAAACTGGTAAAGCCTTGACTGTTCTGGCCCGGCAAGAAACTCAGATGAGAAATGCTATCTATCAAAATAGATTAACTCTCGACTACTTGCTAGCAGCTGAAGGAGAAGTCTGTGGAAAATTTAATCTTAACAATTGCTGCCTGCATGTAGATGATCACGGGCAAGTAGTCAAAGATATAGTAAAGACATGATGAAACTGGCACAAGTACCTGTACAAGCATGGCACAGATTTGACCCTGAGGCTATGTTTGAAAATGGTTCCTGATTGACGGTTCAAAGATGGCCGAATAGGAACAGCTCCAGTCTACAGCTCTCAGCATGAACGACACAGAAGATGAGTGATTTCTGCATTTCCAACTGAGATACCGGGTTCATCTCACTGGGGCTTGTCGGACAGTGGGTGCAGGACAGTGGGTGCAGCCCACCGAGCATGAGCCAAAGCAGGGCGAGGCATCACCTCAGCTGGGAAGCACAAGGGGTCAGGGAATTCCCTTTCCTAGCCAAGGGAAGCTGTGACAGATGGCACCTGGAAAATTGGGTCACTCCCACCCTA